ACACTGTATCAAAACCAAAATAAAAACCAAGCTTGCTGGAAAGCTGAATACAATATAAAGGTGTGGGCTTAGACTGGAATTCTGATGGGCCTCAGGAAAGGCTGAACTTAGGTGCCGTCTCAGTGCACTGTCTCTGCCATCTCTGACCCCTGCTTTGTTCTCTCTCTACAGACTGGCTTCCATGGCCTCAGGGAGGGCAGAGCATGGCAGAACTACAGCTCCCCTCTCTCAAACCTAAATTCTGATTCCTGAGAGCTAGAACTTCACAGACCTAGCTTGTATGTCCATCGTATTCCAACCAGCTGGAAATGCTGTGGTCCAAAAGTACCCATGAGCCACCCTCTTGTTATGGTCTAGACAACAGAACCTAGAAAAGGAGGAGAGAAAACCTACCCAGATGGTCATCTACGCTTCATTTTTTTCGCCATTCATTGGCAGACACCCTCAGAACATTCACACACGTTTAGTTGTTACATCAGAGGACTCTGAAGAGAATCTTAGAGATACCTATCTTACTAAATATGGAATCTGCTAGGTTCCAGACTTAGGACAAACAGCTAAGGTGCCTGTTAAACATGTCAAGTCGGACCTGGCCACTAGGTTCTCCCTGCAATCCCTCAGCTTCTACAGGTTCAGAGCCCACCTGGCCGGCATACCCTGCTGTTCTGTGTCCAGCGGGAGCCAGGGCTTTGTCAGGCACTCTCCCCAGAAGTTCCGGCCCTGCCAAGCAGGAAACCAGAAATGTATGCTTTGGGCAGAAAAGGGTAAACCATGGAATTAAAGAAGCACAGAGCTCCAAAAACCAAGCCAGGGAGCAACAGCGGCCTGGCCTGAGCTGGGTGGGTGGGTGGGTGGCTGCTTCGAAAAACCAAAAAGATTTAAAAAAAAAGGAAGAATACCTATCAAGACCCTGTCTTAAAAGTCTTCAGGAAAAAAAAAAAAAAAAAAAAAAAAAAGCTATTTTATTGTGAGAATCCACTTAGCAGATTCTAGGTCCCAGCTTGTTTGTTTGTTTGTTTGTTTGGTTGGTTTTTTGAGGCCCAGTTTCCCATTATAACAGCCCTGGCTGTCCTGGATTCACTCTGTAGACCAGGCTGGTCTTGAACTCACAGAGATCCACCTGCCTCTGCCTCCCAAAAGCCGGGATTAAAGGCATGCACCACAGTGCCCAGCCCAATTGTTTACTCAATCAAGTATTCATTTACTTATTCAACAGATTTTTACTAAGTACTCCTAGGAAGATATAAGACGTTGTTTAAAGTGTACAGAGTTAAAAAAAAAAAATTCCCAGTCTCTTGTGTGCTTAATATGAGGATTCTTTGAAAGAATAAGCATGGCTTAGGTACCCATTGTGATTAAAATGATAAGCTAACCAAATAAAACGACTTTGATGATTTTAAAAGCTCTATGCATGGCATTAATATTTAACACAAATTTAATAAACAAATGACAGAATTGAAAGATACAATGGAAAACCAGATGAACCAGACCTGGATCCTGCACTCGTGAAGCATATGGTTTAGACGGGAGACCAACATAGGGATAAAGAACATCTCCTGTAGTTGCACTTGGAACTCTGCAAGTGTGTGGTGGCACATGCACGCTTACACACTTACAGAGACACAGGATAAATAAGTAAATGTTAAAATCCAGGTATGGTAGCTCATGCCTTTATCCTAGCACTTGGGAGGCAAAGGCAGGAGAATCACTACAAATCCCAGGCTAGTGGAGCTGTGTAGCAAAACTTTGTTTCAACGCAACAAAACTCAGCATTTGTGCCTGAACCAATCAGAACACTCTCCTTGGGGTAGTATGGAAGATGTGACTTAAGACTCACACTGGCTCAGGAGACAGGTACCTGAACAGAACGTGGGTTCTGACATAAGGATGCTTAGGAAGGAAGAGAGGCTGAAAGGCCATTGGCTAACAGTGGGAAGCATTGATGAAACAAACTGTCTTTCTACACTGGGGACATAATTATAAATGGACCTACAGGTGATCAGAGGAAACCATGTGCTGTGACAGAGCAGGGGGATCACAGTCAGGGGTCACAGGGGTCAGCTGGTGAAGTGAAAGATTCCTAAGAAGCAGCAGGGCTGGGTGGGGGACACTGGAGCAAAGGGAATAGCCCTTGCAGCTGGGACACAGTGAGGGATGGGGATCTTGGAGTGAGGGGAGGACCACAAGGCAGGGCCTGCCTGTCCTATGAGAAGTCTGGAAAGTGCTTCAGAAATGTGGTGTGACCTGGTGTGGGGTGGGTTTCAGGAAGAGTGAAAGCTGCATAGAGAAGGGAGTGGGCTCTAGTCAGGAATGGTCAGGGGACTATGTTAACTTGGCGTTTATAAGGGAAGTTTTGTTTTCTTTAAAAATTCAGTTCTGTTATGTAAATGTTTTTGTTTTAATCCCTAGTGTAGCCTTTTAGTTTGGCCTTTTTAGTTTGTCCATAGCTGATAACTGCCTCCTGCAGTTCAGGGTCTTTGCCAGCTGGTAACGGCCTGCCCTTAGGCAGCACAGACAGGGTCGTGGTCTAGGACTCTGAGGATAGAAATATGAGAGCCCAGAAAGAGAAGATGTGGCGTGTAGCAGGTGGCAGACAGAGAAATATTTTATAGGTTCCCTTTACTTACTGCATGGGTAAACTCAAAGTTAACAAAAAAAAAAAAAAAAAAAAAAAAAAAAAAAAAAAAAAGACAATAACAACAGCCAAAACAAAACAAACTTTTCTGAGGGAAACCGAGGTAGAGTGTCTAAAGGATGAAATCTACTGAAGGCCGGACTTCTTGGTGGGTGGAGCCCACGCTGATGAGGGCCAAATGCATGAGTATTTCTAAGTCTTGTTTTGCAGCACCCGAAGGAACTCAACTTACAACAGGGGTTGTAAGATGGAAGACAGGAGGTTGAAAAGAGGAACGAATGTGTCATTGCATAGACTCACCTTATCTTTGCCAGGCCTTCCTGGTGGTCTCCTAGGCTTCCAGACTCACCCATGCAGTCTCCATCCTGTGTCCTTCCCTCTGAGACAGCCCTCTCCACACTCTAGATTACAGAGGGAATGTTCTCCCTTTGTCTCATCTCCTCCTAAATACTGACCATATTTCCTCTCCTTCTGGAAAGTGCTTCCATCTGTCGGTATAGCCTCCAAAGAATCCATCGGCCCTAAACAGCCAGGAGAAGTAAAGGGTCTTGCACTGCCTCTTCCCACTAACCTTCTCTCTCCTACCTAGGGTTGGGGGTGTGGTGGAAAGGAGAGGCTTTAAGGAACCCCAGATAAAACAGAGTTTTAAAAAAGAACACAACAGGAGCTGATGATGTGTGGTGTGACAGGGACAGAAGAAAGTGATCATAACTGAGCCAGGCCAGATTGCTGATATCCTGAGGACAGAAAGGTGGGTTATCCTCAAACCCAGATTCTGCCAGGAGGTTTGAGGTCTGTGCCAGGGTGAAGACACAAGAGCATAGATAACCCCATGGGTGGAGAATGGTTGTTATACGGGAGGTGACGGCTGATGATGAAGGTGTTGGGAAAGAAGACAAGATGGCGGGTTGCAGCCTGCAGGCCTGATTTCAGGGCAACTGGCAGTTCACTTGGTTATCCTGAGAAATCACTGTGGTGGTCAAGTTCTGATCATCCACTGGGCAGAACTGTAGGTGTGGTAGTTGCTTGTGGGTCATTTCCCATCATGCATGCTGGGCAAGAGATCTAGCATTGAAGTACTCTGTTTTTATATTGAAACAGGATCTTTCTGGATTGAATTGGGGCTCCTTCTGTCTCAGCATTCCAAATAGCTAGGGTGGCGGGCCTTTGCCACCAGGCCAGGCACTTCTTAAGAGTTAGTGCCAAGGATCTGAGATTAAACAGCAGTGAACCAAGTTTCAAGGGACCCAAGAACTAAGCAGACAGAGAGGAAATATGGTCAGTATTTAGGAGGAGATGAGACAAAGGGAGAACATTCCCTCTGTAATCTAGAGTGTGGAGAGGGCTGTCTCAGAGGGAAGGACACAGGATGGAGACTGCATGGGTGAGTCTGGAAGCCTAGGAGACCACCAGGAAGGCCTGGCAAAGATAAGGTGAGTCTATGCAATGACACATTCGTTCCTCTTTTCAACCTCCTGTCTTCCATCTTACAACCCCTGTTGTAAGTTGAGTTCCTTCGGGTGCTGCAAAACAAGACTTAGAAATACTCATGCATCTGGCCCTCACCCACCAAGAAGTCTGGCCTTCAGCAGATTTCGTCGTTTAGACACTCTACCTCGGTTTCCCTCAGAAAAGTTTGTTTTGTTTTGGCTGTTGTTATTGTCTTTTTTCCTTTGTGTGTGTGTTAACTTTGAGTTTGCCCATGCAGTAAGTAAAGGAACCCTAAATCTGTATTTACAGAGACTAGTGAACGCCTTAGTAGTCACTGTAGGAGCCATGTCTTCAGCTCTCACAGGCAGATGGGGAGATGATAATTGCAAGAAACTGGGCCTTTCTGAATTCCCTTAAAGTTGTCTCAGACCTGGATGGACACTGGGGACTCCCCATCCTGCCTCAGAAATGGGTAGCATGTTTATTTCCCGGCCAAGATTTAAAAATAAAACCACAACAGCTAGAGTAGTGGCGGCGCAACTGTAACTCCAGAATTTGGGAGTCTGAGGCCAGAACACTGGGAGTTCAGGCCAGCCTCGGTTACACCCATAGGCCACAAACAAGTGTGTTAACAGTCTGAGACCCAGAGGGAAAGGGTCAAGTACAGGGGTGTGCCTAGGCCTGCTGAGGTCCCTCTGACCTGAAACTGTTACAGAAGGCGTGGGTAGCAGAGACGAACAAAGGGTGTCCAGGACCGAGCAGAAGCACTTAAAGGAACTTACTGACCCATGGCAGACAGCCTCTGATGTACTTCCCCTTTCCCCAACCCCTCTTCTCTTTCCTTTTCTCTCTCATGCTGGCTGTGCGTCAGTTCCTGAAAGGTGGGGAAACTTCCTGACGCTATGAAGCTGCCCAAAGGGAGGCTAGACCCCATTCCGGAGCCTGCCGCGCCCCGCCCTGCAGCTCTGCGGAGAGCCGCTCTGAGCTTCTCTCCTGCCTCCTGGTAAGCACCTGACCATGTCCCTGGCCGAGGCCATCAGACTCTGGAATGAAGGGGTGCTGGCAGCTGACAAGAAGGACTGGAAGGGCGCTCTGGAGGCCTTCAGCGAGGTGCAGGACCCCCACTCGAGGATTTGCTTTAACATAGGTTGCATGCACGCCATCCTGGAAAATATGCCGGCAGCGGAGCAGGTGAGTGTGGGGCCCCGTAATTACAGCCTTTCCGCCCCCTGGAAACCGCACCTCCCTGAGCCTTCAAAGAACAAAAGCCCCAGAGGCCCCATCTAACAAAGCTCCCGGGGCAGGTTCTCCCAGCCACGCATGGGTGGGGCTCTGCTCTTTACAAGAACTCCAGGTTACCCAACATCATCTTCTAACCCTCTTGTGAAGACGTCTACACTTCTGTTTTCTTTTACAACGCATCCTGGATACAGGCTTTCTCTGTCTTACCTTTGCACCCAGTTGGAAAGTGCCTCTTACAGCTTCCAGGAATTTAAAATCCCTGGCTATGTAGACCAGGCTGGCTTTGAACTCAGTGGAGTTCTGACTGCCTCTGCCTCCCAAGTGCTGGTCCACATGACCACCAGGTCTCTTTATATACTGATTGATTGATTGATTGATTGATTGATTGATTGTGTGTGTGTGTGTGTGTGACTTTTATGTGGGTGGATACATATGCCATGGTGCACGCGTGATGGTCAAAGGACAACTTTGTGGAACTCTGTCTTTGCATTCTTTCCATCTTTACCTGGGTTCCAATGATCGACTCCAAATCTCCAGCATTTCACAGCAAGTGTCTTTACCTGCTGAACCACCTGAGGAACCTCAGGAGCCGTCCACTCTGGGTTTTGTTTTGTTTTGTTAAAGTAGTGTCTCTTGTTAGCCTAGAACTTGCCTATTAGGCTAGGCTGGCGGCGATCCTGTCTCCATCTCCCAGCATCGAGACTTCAAAGGTTGTGGCCCCGTACTTTGAGGTCACACTCAGGTTGTCATGCTTGTGAGGCAAGCATCTTACCTACTTAACCAATTCCTGGTCCTCCACCACCTCTAAGATCCAGTTCACATCCCCCCCCCCCCAGCTGCAGGTGACAGGAAGAGAGACTGGGTGTGCTCAGGTGCGCTCCTGTCAGCAAGCAGGTGGGACAGAGCATGGGCTGGCCCAGCCTCTGCCTGTGGGGGGGGGGACTACCCCCTCCACCTCCCCTCAGGGACAGCTGCTTCCTTAGAGCTGTGGAGACCAGCACATTGTGGAGTCAGGAGCCAGCTCTCCTGGATAAAGCTCTTACCACGGGCACTGCGTGTGCATATCTTGGCCTGGACCTGGGACTCTGGGCCAGGCTGTGCCAAAGGCCACCTCACACACTCAGATCATTGGCTTCTACCCTTACGGATCAAGACTTTTCTTCTGTTGCTGGTGCTCTCATTCCCTCTGCCCTTGTTTTCTGGTTTGATCCAATGTTAACAATATTATCTATGTATTCTTATTTGTTATTATTTTAGTGATATAAATACTTACACAATAACTTAATATTGAGCAAATACAACATGTATTTTAACTGTATCTCATTTTATTTTTGTTATTATATTTAATGTGAGTGGGCGTTTTCACAGTATGTATGTTTTGATGCCACGTGAGTATCTGATTCTCAAAGAGGCTAGATTCTCAGGGGCCCTAGAACTAGAATTACAGACAGTTTTGCGCCACCATGTGGGTTCTGGGAATTGAACGTAGGTGAAGAGCAGGAAGCACTCTTATCTGCTGAGCCATCTCTCCAGCCCCATTACTTATTTTACAGAGGAAAACACTGAGGTCCAGGGAGATTAGGTAATTTGCCACAGGCTACAGGAAGAGGAAATAACACCCGGGGCATTTGGGGCATTTCAGTTCCCGCAGGTCCCCTCTCCTCCCCTCCCAGCCGATTTTGTCACCTTGAGTTGCTGAATCATTCCGACACACCTGCTTGCTACTCTCTCTGGCTGCTCTTACACTTCCTCTCTGCCTGGCTCAGTGGCCATGTATGCACCCGTCTCCCTGCAGGCCTTCACCAGAAGCATCAACAGAGACAAACACTTGGCAGTGGCCTACTTCCAGCGGGGAATGCTGTACCACAGCATGGAGAAGTAAGTGATCCAGGGCTACCCACGCTGTGGGAGTGTGACGGCATGCCTGATGGCTCTTTGTGTTAGCAGACCTAGTGTTCAGTAAGTACCCTCCAGCTTCTGTGGACAAGAAGGCTGGCTAGCTTCTTCTGAGCCGTTATGCAAGAAATAGCATGCAGGAGGCTTTTCTAGGGGAAAGGAGGCGAGCCTGACCTCATTGTAAGTCATCTGGGGCACAACCACAAAGAGCCTAGAAACTACCACTGGCTGCTTATTTAGCTGCTGGTCCTCCCACCAGCGTCCCTAATGAGGACACCCAGTGTGTCTCTCTGTGAGGGACTGAGCAGTCCAACAGCAAGAGTCATCATGAAATCAAATCAACCCTGGCTTCATCCCTGCTGAACGTGTTTGCCGAACCCAGTTTAAACCATTGGATGGGGGTTGGGAGGATGACCCTACCACAAAGAATAAGAATACAGGCTGTTAGCAGCATATGTGTAAGTTAATATAATCAAATAACATATATTATATATTACAGACAAATAATATATGTGTATAAGTTCACAGTTGACGGCAAATTTTAAAGAATGTTTTTCAAAACATCATGTCAGTTCAAAGCCATTTTTTGCAGACTAGAAGGGCATTGGCCAGTGTGTCATTCTAGTTCTTTCTGGATGTTGGAATGATAGTGAAGTCCCTTTCCCTCCATCACATTGTCTATGTTTTGGGTTATCTACAGTCAATAAAACAATAAAAAGACCAAAAAAAAAAAATACAGAATGAATGTTAACCTCAACCTCTTCTCCTCTTAAATGTCCAAAGAACAAGTATATGCATAAAAAAATTCAAAATGTGAATTTCAGATATTTTGGGCAAAAGTCAGACAGCAAACTGACTGAGGAAAGTGTCCATCTGTATGCACAAATTCTAGGGAAAAGGGAACTGGCTGAGAGGAAGGAAGACCTTTCCAACAGTGAAACTGGTCAAGCTTGGTGTGGCCAGGTTTCAGGGCATGGAAGGGAACTGGGGAGACAGAGGATGCCCTGAGTGGGCGGAGCTGGATGATGAACTCCTGGAAGTTTAAGTCCCTCTAAATATGAATAAAGAGAACAAGACTGGCGCCTGGGGAGTCATTTTGGAAATGACAACAGTTGTCCTCGTGACAAATGGGGATCTGAACCAGGGCGGCAGCAGTGAAAAGGACAAGAAGTGGGTTTCCAAGTTGGTCACTCTCACAGGGTATGGAGCCGGCACATTCTGAGAGACCCTGTCACACAGGCAGTAGTTGGCTGCTTACAGCTGGAGTTGAGTACTTTGAGACAGGGTGGACTCTTAAAGATCTCAAATGGATTTCCACGTGCAAGTCCCCCTGAAACCACTACCTAGAGATCAACAACAACAAAAAAAGGAGACAGTTTGGGCTTGAGAATATGCCAGACTTAATATTTTCCTCACTGGAGAGTTGTACAACTAAAATCTAAATCTGGTGGATTGTCTTCCTCAGATTTAACAATTATCATTTGGTCCTGCATTCTCTTTCTGGATTTCCCCCACTCTTTCTTTCATCTTTCTTTCCTCCACTCAACCTCTCCTTCTCTGTCTGCTTTTGAGACAGGGTTCTATGTAGTAAAGGCTGTTAGCTGAGGATGACCTTGAATTCCTGCTCCTCCTGCCTCCAATCCCCACGTGCCTGGGCTGTAGGTGTAAGCCACCATGTCTGGCTTTTTCAGTTCTAGATTTTTTTTTTTTCCTAAGTCAATAAAAATCTTAGCCTTACAGTCTCTGGAACTTCCAGATATTTCCATGTAGAAATTCCTTCTGGAAGCCTGTCCCCCTTTTTCTCTTGTCTCTTTATCATAGGGTATTAGAGAGAAGTAGAAGGAAGACCCTCAGTTTCTCTTTGGATAGTAAATAGTTTGGGGTGAGCTGGACTGAGTTGTGGTTTGCCTCTGTCCATATTCTATGCTTCTAGAGAAGATACTGGATTCTGGAGGATGGGGTGGGAAGAGAATGCACATTGTCTGTAGAGGCAGCCACCTCCTCCTCTCCCCTCCCCAGACGGTCTCTGTGTCTGTGGCTTTTCTTTCAATAAGCCTTTCATTTTACACTCACTCAATCAGGTAACTGAGCACAACTGCAGAGAACCTTTGACGTTCCCTGAGCACTAGTGGTTGCTCCTAGCAACAGCTAAGTACTCAACTTTACAGGCAGGCGACACCCCCAGATTAAAGCCTTCCAAAGTGGCCCTGGGGCCAGAACTTCCTGAATTTTGCTCATTTGGCTGCCCAGTGGTTTCCCAGGATCCACTTGTCTCTGCCATCCCAGAGCTGGGATTACAGGTACATACTGTCATGCTTGGCTTTCTTTCTTTCTTTTTTTTTTTTTTTAAGATTATTTTATATGTAAAAGGACCAGAGCCGGCATAGAACACACCAAGATCAAATTCTCAGCACAAAGGAGGTGTGTTCAGCACAAAGGAGATGTATTTGTCCCAGAGGGCTAAAGATCAGGGAATAAGAGACAAAGACGAGACAGAGGGTGAGGGAGAAGGGAAAAGAAACAAGGGGGGAGGGGAGGAGATTTATCCCAGAGGGACAAAGGACTGCCTTTGATAGAGAGGAGACCCATAGGTAAGTGACAGTTTATAAAGGGAAAAGGGGAAACCCCGTATTGGGATTAGTTGGTTAATTTTGTTTGGGCATATTAATTAGGGTAGTCAAAAGGGAGCTTCTGATTGTTGGACTTCAATCCTTTGATAGCTGGACCTTGGTGGTCAGCCTCAGGAGGAGGAGGAAGTGGTCAAATAAGGAGATAGACCTTGGGGGCTAGCTTTGGGAATGTATCTGATGGTTTTTTAGCAAGAGGAAAAAGGTTAAAAGGCAAAACCTGTGGGAGCCATGTTTGCCATGCTCAGGCCTGCTAGAGCCCTGTGTCTAAGTGTTTTGTCTGCGCGTATGTACATGCGCCATGTGCATGCCTGGTGCCCACAGAGTCCAGGGCCTGTATCTGCACACCTGGAACAGAAGTTATGGATGGTTCTGAGCCACCATATAAGTGCTTGTACCAAAACCCCAGCCCTCAGCAAGAGCAGCCAGCGCTCTTCTTAACCATGGAGCCGTCCCTCCAGCCACAGTGCTTGGCTTTTTTCTGAGTCCTTGAGATCTGAAAATTGAGAAATAAATGCTTTACAACTGTGCTGCCTCCCCAGAGCCCTTTTTTTCTTTTCTGTTTACTAAGTCGCTAGTTTGTGATAGCCTTTCTGCAGCTGAAGCTGGCCTTGACTTCCCACCTTCACCTCCCAAGCACTGGGATTATTGGTGTGCACTATGCCTGGTTCTTCTGGAGTTTCTTTTCTTTTTAAATTTATTTGTTTGATTCTGTGTGCATTTATGTCTGTGCCCTAGGAGGCCAGATGAGGGCTCAGATCCCCTGGAACTGAAGGTATGGACAGTTGTAACCTGCCATTCGGGTGCTGGAAATCTGAACCCAGGTCCTCTGAAAGAGGAGCCAGTGCTGCACTTAACAGCTGAACCACCTCACCAGCCTCCTGGAGTTTCTTAAACACGTTGGTGTGAATTCCACACAAAGTATGTGGCCCATGCTGCAGCATCTCACCAATTCTCTAGCACTCCTAAAGGGATTTTTTTTTAAATTTACTATATATAAGATTTTATTTTTATTTACTATATATACAATGTTCTGCTGCATGTGTGCCTGCACGCCAGAAGAGGGCACCAGATCTCATTACAGATGCTTGGGAGCCACCATGTGGTTGCTGGGAATTGAACTCAGGACCTCTGGAAGAGCAGCCAGTGCTCTTAAACTCTGAGCCACCTTGCCAGCCCCCAGGGATGTTTTAACAGTCTAAGAAAGTGTGAGCTGGGTGTGGTGGCTCACACCTTTAATCCCAGCACTCAGGGAGGCAGAGGCAGGCTGATCTTTGAGGCCAGCCTGTTCTACAAAGTGAGTCCAGGACAGCCAGAGCTACACACGAAGGAGAAGAAGAAGGAGAAGAAGAAAAGGGAGAAGGGAGAAGGGAAAGAAGCTGCCCTAGGTCACTCGATTTATAACATAAACTGGGTACAATCCAGCATTCAAGAGGTAGAGGCAGGAGGATCCGGAGTTCAAGGTCATCCCTTGAACTCAGTACAGTTTCTGAGAAACTCAGTACATCTGTACTGAGTTCAAGAGAAACCTGTGATACATAAGACCCTATTTCAAAAACAAAACCAACCAACTAACCAACCAAACAAAAAAAACCAACAGCAACAAATGGACTTTAGCAGGGTTAACTCCACCCAGCTTTCTCCACACAAAAGGAACACTCTGGTTAACACTGGGTTTTTTGTTTGTTTGTTTGGTTGGTTAGTTGGTTGGTTAGTTTCCACACTGTAGACATCCTGATGAGACAGAGAATTGCGTGGAGGATGCTGCTGAGACCCTACAGTGCCAGGTAGACTCAGGGCATCTCTACAGCTAAAAACCACCTGCTCAGCCAGCTCAGCAGGGAGCAAGGCAGGTGGGTGAGTTAGTGAGCTGAAGACACTGAATGTACATCAGCTGAGAGTTTCCCTGCTCCCAAACAGGCGGTGGGACACAGTGGAAACTGCATCTGCGCCTCCACCTGCCTTCTTGCTTCGGGGAAACAGCTAGCCACACACGGCCCGTGCGGTTACAGACGGGGATCCAGGAAACCTGCCTTCTTGTTCTTTCCAGGATGGCCTCAGAGATGTGTGGGAGTAACTTCTCTCTCTTTCCCAGCGTGTGGCGAGGAGGCAAAAGGCCACAAAACCAGGAGACAAACGAGACCCAACAGAAGATTTAGGGGAAGGCTGTGGGCAAGAGGAGGGTGCCCACAGCGGTAGCTGTGCCAGGCAGATCTGACTTTGAGTGAGGGTGGTGAGGACTGCTTTGAACCTGTCCTGAGAAGCAGGGTGGGTCGGTGTGGTCCTGCTTGGAGATCGCCAGTGAGAGTGAGAGCTGTGTTTGAAGGCCACACAAAGGCCACCTGAACAGTGGGAACTGTATAAAGGCCCACAGAGAAGAAATCTTCATTGTTGTCGTAGACTGAGGGTCCCCCCAAGCTGTACTGGGTAGCCCATGTGTGCAACATCACACCTAGTCTATAGAATCCTTGGTGTCAGGATTGGTCAAAGTGCAGAATTATCAAACAGAACAGGAGTGCTTCTTCAGGCGGGATGGAAGGAGGATAGAGAAGCACAGAGACGCATGTTCTGCTTTCCTTCTTCCATGACCTGGATGGACTAGCTTACTCCTCCCCCTGTCCTGCAGATACGACTTAGCTATCAAAGACCTTAAAGAGGCCTTGACTCAGCTTCGAGGGAACCAGCTGATAGACTACAAGATCCTGGGGCTGCAATTCAAGCTGTTTGCCTGTGAGGTAAGGAGGTCAGGGACTGTGGCCTGGAGAGGACACTTGAGAAGCACCGTGGTCGATTAGCACCTGCAGAGGTTGGCCGAAGTCACGTTGACGCCCATGCCTTGAGACTCAGGTTGTCTGTTAAGAAAACACTCAGATGGGTGTAGCTCGGAGGTAAATAGTGTTTGCCTAGCATGTGTGAGGCCCAGGACCTGATCCCAACATTGACAAAGGGAGGAAAGGAAAGGGAATGGCATAAGATCAGAGATGGGACGGGATTGGATGACTCCAGGCTCCTTATAGAGTAATTTAGTCACCTGAGAGCGGACATTTTCTTAATTTCAGATTGAAAAGCCAATGCAAAAAATAAGCTCATTGTATGTTCTGAAGGGAGACCAGACTGGAGCGTGCTGGCCTGTGAGAGCACTCACAGTAATTTGCATATCTTATTTAGCACTTCAAGCTACATAAGACATGCTATTTGCTTAGCATTATGCTAACAGGTTCAAAATCATGGATTCTCTGTCTGTGAGGAGCCTGTTGTAAAACATCCCAGTACTTGGTCAGCACCTCGCAGAGAGACTATGCGCCATTTGGTGCAAATCTGTGTAAGAGAACAAAGTACACGTTAAGGGAAAGTTCTCCAAACAAGGACAACTTCTTCCCTGCTTTACTAAGAAGGATGGGCATAGCTGGCTTTCACTTGTGAGTTTATGAACTTTTCTTCCTCAAATAACCTTCCCTTTCAAACTTCCAAATATACACCACAAGCTTTAAACAACGAAAACTCCTGCAAATGCCATGGACCTTTATTTAGAAGCATTGCCAAATGAACGTCTCTTTTGCTTCAGTTTCTCAGGCAGAAGTGAAGCGTTCCCAGGGTTGCTTGGAGCTGCAAGTAAAAATAGATTCTATTGCTGCCCGAGTCCCTGGGGACATGCGGCCCATCCTGCCCTGCAGCAGGCACACAGCTATGCCACCGCTTACAAGGGTGTGGCTTTTGCTTTGGGAACCGGCTGGAATGAGACCGGCTCCCTGAGGACAGGAATCATTGCTCTCCATAAGTAACTGTAGCAGACCCTTTGTTACAGGGGCTGCCCTATAACAAAGGGATTTTTTGTGTGTGTGGGATTTTTTTTTTTTTTTTTTTGGCCCTATCTCTGGCCTCTCCCCACTAGATGCCAGGGGCATCCTACTTCACCTTGTGATGATCAAAATGGTCTCCAAACATTACCATTCACCCTGCAGAGGGTCACTTACATATGGAATCAGGGCAGGGGTGCGGGGTGAGGTGTGGGGAGAGGGTGAGCAGGCAGCTCTAGAAAAAGAAGGTGGTGGCCACAAGCCTTTGATCCCAGTACTTGTGAGGCAGAGGCAGGTGTATCTCTGAGGCCAGCCTGGTCTACAGAAAGAGTTCCAGAACAGCCAGGACAACATAGAGAAACCCTGTCTCGAAAAACCAGAGAAAGACAGAAAGACAGAAAGAAAGAAAGAAAGAAAGAAAGAAAGAAAGAAAGAAAGAAAGAAAGAAGGAAGGAAGGAAGGAAGGAAGGAAGGAAGGAAGGAAGGAAGGAAGGAAGGAAGGAAGGAAGAGGAAAAAGGATTGTGCCTTGTAGTAGCAAGGAGAACTTCTTGGAACTTTATAGGAGTCCTCCCTGTGAATGACCAGAGAACAGGAAATTGGTCATTTTCCTGCTTACACCATTCTTGTGGATTCACCTCAAAGCCCTTACAACCATAAACACTGATTGTGAGGAAAGGCCTCAAGTGAAGGCAACTGAGAAAAAAAAAAAAAGAAAGAAACTTTAAAGCTTATGTGGTCTCTTTTCTGTCCTCACATGTCCTGAATAGGTTAGGGTAACCACATTTGTGCCACATGATTCTCAATTTACGATGACAGGTTCTGTACAAATAAAAACCCATTCCCCCGCCTCTCTCTCTGTGTATGTGTCTTCTGTCTTTTTCTGTCTCTCTCTTTCTCTCTGAGTATGTGTGTGTGTGTTCTGTCTTTCTCTCTCTCTGTCTTTTTGGAAGGGACTCTAAGCCCAGGCTAGCCTTCAATTGGGTATGTAACCAAGTCTTCCCACCTCCCCTCGACAGTGGGTAAATCCCAGGCCTGTAGCAGTTGGAGGGTTTATGCGGGCTAGGGATAGAGCCCAGGGCTTTGCTGAGCCAGCACTCTCCTAACTGAGACACATCCTCAGTCCCAGTGAAGGCAAGAGTTAGTTTAAGTCAAAAATGCATTTAACACCTGTACACCATGTATGTCAGTTTTATGGCATTGCACCCTAGTGTGTTGTAGGAGGCATGGCGGTCCTTGTGCTCACAGATGAGCACTTTGGGAACCTGAAATGTTAAACACTAGGGTAGTTCCCTCAAAGAAAGGGATGCATTACCTACTATCCAGCCAGAAAGCTGGAGGTGGAGGTGGTTAGCGGCCTGATGACCCTTGCTCTGTGTAGCCCAGACCACACCAGATCTTTCCCCAGACCCTTATCTTGATCTTGTTTTTCTCAGCCAATCTACAGAACCCTTTTGTTGTTGTTGTTGTTTGTTTGTTCCTTTGTTTTGTTTTGTGACACAGTTTCTCAGTGTAGCCCTGGCTGTCCTGGAACTTGTCCTGTAGACCAGGCTAGCCTTGAACTCAGAACTTCGCCTGGCCCTGCTTCCCAAGTGCTGGACTAAAAAGCGTGCACCACCACCCACCGGGCTCAGAATCCATCTTTATGGGAGATGTCACATGTGTGTACAAAGAGTTTCTATGCAGTCACCTTCGCTTTTTATCTCACTTACTTTGTGCTTGCTTGTGCACACAGATTGAGTTCCCACCAAACTGTGCGGTGCTTAACTATGTCTAAAATAAACTACTCAGGGTTGGGACTGGAGAGGTGGCTCAGTGGTTAAGAGCACTGGCTACTCTTCCAAAGAATCCCTGTTGAAATCCCAGCACCCACATGGCAGCTCACCACTGTCTGTAACTCCAGTTCCAGGCGATCTGACACCCTTGGGCAGACATACATGGAGCCAAAAACACAAATGTAAATAAAGTGAAATAATAAAAAGAAAAAAAAAAACTACTTAAGGTCAGATTCTCAAAGTTTGAATTCCGCTACTTAGTTGTGCTGAACTAAACTGCCTTTTTATCTCCTGTGGATTCTTATTCTGCTGGCTGTGATGGTGGCAGAGACCCCCCCACACACGCACCCCTCACAACACCCTTCAGGCCTCCTACGGTGCACTACTTGCTTGCCTTTGTGGTTGCATGGCTGACCAGGAGGCAAGACTCTATGATGCTAACCAAATTGCAAGAGAGTATTGTAGTATGTGTCACTACCCTGGGGAAAGATCAAAATTAAAACATGGAAGTGTTTTTCTCTATCGAATGTATGTGTTTCTCTTCTGTACTATAGTTAAGTTAAAAAAAAAAGATCCTGAGTCCTTGGGGGCTGGCGAGATGGCTCAGTGGGTTAGCGTTGCTAGCCATTAAGGCTGATGACCTTAGTTCAAACCCCTGGACCCACATGGCATAAGGAAAGGACTGACTATTACAAGTTGTCTCCTGACCTCTGCACATGTGCCATGACTCACACACACAATCAATAAGTGTGAAAAAAAATCCTCACTGCAATCATTCTAAGCCAACGACCTATGCCTCAGGCACTAGCTCATTGATTCTCAGAAAGGGGTGGGGGAAAGGCATCTAGAGCTCCACTCCTGGGCTTGGTCCTCGCTCCCAGAACCAGCACCAGCCACTAACTCCGTGGAAATGCCAATCTGGTGGCCCTGGTGTGTCTAGCATGGTAGAACTGTTTGTTGGCTAAGGGCTCCCATTCTTGGTACAGAACAGCCCTGTGGGACGGCCAAAGTTTTGTCAGGACAGGGCAGCTGGTGTCCCAGAAAAAAACAGGTGATCTAGGGGATGGATGCTAGAGCGTCAGTGTCCTTCCGGACTCAGCCTCAAGTGTCACACCTCTGTTTCCACAACATTCTTTTTATCTTCCTAATGTATCCAAAAGTTTAACTGGTTCTGTGAATAAACTGCGCAGTGTTATAGTGAAGCAAACACTGATGAACCTACAATCCAACCGAAGACCTGGGAAGTTCTGCCATTCCCTCCCCCTGCAGCTGAAGCTTTCCCCCGGGGTTCCGAGAATGCCAGCTCTCTTTCCAGCTCCACTGGACTTGGACCATGAAGTTGTCTGATACACACTGCTGTGTTGGAGTCTTGTGATCCATGTAATTCCAGCCAGGTTCTAGCGGCTCAGGTGCCAAACAATGCATCTGGAACCTCTTCCCACCCCGCACTTGGCCTATAGCTCGGCCCAGGTTCAACGGCAAGAGCAGGAGTTAGAAATCACACACCTTCCCAGCTCTGACTCTGCCTCCCTCCCCACGAGGCTCTGGGAAAGCCCCTCTTCTCTATGTTAGAACAACACACTAGTTCTTTGTCCCTTCTGACCTACTTGGTTATAGAAGAATGCACACGGCTTTCTGCATTAGAAAGTGTTTTCTTAACACCGCTTATGTCTGACAGAGCTCAGTGGCTACACTAATTGTTGGCCATCCCCTCAATACTCAGGAAAGGAATTATGTCACTAGACGGCATTCTCTGTGTGCATATGTGAACCCTTTCCTGGTGCCTGGCTTTGGAGTAGTTTCAAGTTTTGTGTGGCCTCTGCTCTTCTAGGTGTTGTATAATATCGCTTTCATGCATGCCAAGAAGGAGGAATGGAAAAAGGCAGAAGAGCAGTTAGCCTTGGCAACAAACATGAAGTCTGAGCCCAGGCATTCCAAAATTGACAAGGCCATGGAAAGCATCTGGGTGAGTGTGGTGGTGGGGGGGGGGAGTTTTCCTCGGCAGAGTCCCACTGGGTAGCATTTTCTTTGTTGGTTCTGACCAACAAATGTTCTTTCAATATCTTCCGACCTTGCTCGGAGCCGAGAAGCTACTGGAGAGTGGAACAGCACAGCCCCTGGGTCTCAGAGTGGTGCCTGGGGCGATGCCTGTAGTTTCTTGGTGCTGTGCAGCCTTCAAGCACTGTGAACATACTGGCTGTATTTTTTTCTGCTTGCCTTTGAGGCCTAACTATCTTGCACAGTGCCAGGTTCAACGTGGTCCTCACAAAAATGTTCCGGTTCTGTGAGAGAATCATGAAAATTATCATCCATAGTTTGAGTACATTTGGAAGCAAAAGTGATTTTTTTTTCTTTCTTTGGAGATATTTTATTTTAAATTACGTGTCTGTGTGTGAGAATGTGCATGTGTGGGTCGGTGCCTATAGCATCCAGAAGGGTCCCCTAGAGCTGGAGCTACAAACAGTTGTGAACTGTGTGATAGAGGCTGTTCAGAACCAAACTCTGGTTCTCTGGAAGGGCAGAAAGTGTTCTTAACTTCCAACCCCAAAAAGGTAGTTTTAAGTAAACACTAAAAATAGGGCTCAAGTTTTTGTATGCCCGTGTTCACGAGCAATCCTAGTACCAAGAGAACACTGGCACAACCCTTGCTTGGAGCTACTCTTGTAGGGTACCCTCTATGCTGGTAGAGAAACTCAAGCTACCACACAGAATAGGAAAGTATCAGTGCTCTAGAAAAAAAGAGGGCATTGGATGAATAATACCAGCATAAGGTGATGTAAAAGTCAACTTCTCCCAGTGGGCAACCAAGAGCATCAAAAGTAGTCTGCATTATTTTGGCAACCTATGGCCTCTGGGATGAGCATAAGTCTCTGTGCAGAGTAGCTCCAACAAGACCCTGTTGCTTGAGACAGCACACACATTGGTCACAGGAGGTGGAGAAATCAAGTTGGTACTATCCAAGAAGCTTTCTCCATGCTCGCTGGCTCTAACAGGACTAGAAGGTTCTAACAATACTGTGCAGGCTGCTGGGAGAAAAAAAGTCATCAGTAATTTTACTCAGCTGTGAGCCTTGTAGACTGAAATAATACAGTGTTAGTAAGATACGCCCAGGAGTGCAATAGTGGCATGAATGCTCTGAGGTAATCGACTGCTTTACTATTGAATTTAAGGCTCACTCCATAGGCGCAAACACACACATGCCTCATATTGCAAATCTGACCAAGTACCCGTCGTTGGGAGCTCACAGGCCCCGAAGGTGAACCTACTATGATTATGTTGCTAACGAGCATAGTATCAATCTGCCCTCTGAATTTGTACGTCTTTACCCATAGTTTACTGCAGCTCTCTGTCCTCGCCAGATAAGTTTCTTTGTGCAGTGGGAAGCTGATGGTGGTTAATACAGAAACTCACAGTTCTCCAAGTGCAGAGAGTCCATGGCTGAGTAGTGCTCAGCCACAAATAGGACATCTGTGTCACATCCCATCCCCAAGGTTCAGGGTCAGAGAAGGGAGAAGGGCAGAAAAATTGTAAGATCTAGAGGTCATGGAGGACCAGGACAAAATAGTATCTTATAGACATGACAGGACCCCTGAACTCAACCCACAGCATCTGGGGTTGGCTACAGAAGATCAAGACAGTCAACATTGTAACTCGAGGGAGTTCATGCGCCCCATCCCTGACTGAAGAGCTAGGGACACAGCTGGTGGCTTCTAGGGTGTTGGAGAGTCACTTTTCTTTAAGGATATGTGGCTCTTGCTAGGTCAGCCATAGGCCAGTGGCTAGCCATATCCAGAAGAATATGAATAACACAAATCGGAGTTAAGGGGCTTTAAAAACAAATAAACAAACAAATAAACAAACAGGAGACAGGATATTTTGTCATACACAGACAGATCTATATGAATTTCAGGCCAGCCTGGTCTACATAGTGAGTGCCAGGCCAGCTAAGGCTACATAATGAGACCCTGTTTTAAACAAACAAAGGGTACAAAGTTGTGGGGAGTAAGGGTGGATCAGGTAGGAATTAAGGGGAGGAGTTAGGTGAGTATGATCAAGATACATTAAAATTCTCAAAGAATTAACAATAAATAAACCCAGCTGCTCCTGCTTAGCCTTCTAGAGTAACAAATCCCTATGGTTTGAAAGAGTTGTTCTCTTGAGACTTTTCCCAATGGTCCATTTGATGAGCAAAGCAAGAATGGTTTCCTCACTCCCATTTTCAGATGAGGACATACAGTCACGAGAGATGTAAAGATGTTTCAGTCAACCAATCACACATTCCACGATGGCTGAAACACCAAGGTTGTATGAGCACATTCTATGATGCTCATGCGAGCTCACCCAACAGCACGTGAAAATGAACCCAGCACCGCTGAGTGACACGTGACTGATCATTCTATTACAGAAGCAGAAGCTGTTCGAGCCTGTGGTGATCCCAGTGGGTAAGCTGTTCCGGCCAAATGAGAGGCAGGTGGCTCAGCTGGCCAAGAAGGACTATCTGGGCAAGGCTACGGTAGGGTGGGGCTGCGCATCTTTCCACCTTTCTCGTTCCCTGGATCCCATGGGGCTGGGTGGAAGGGAGTCCCCTGTCCCCTTCTGTGGCATTCAGGATTGGCAATGAGGATCTTGCTGACAGTAAAAGACAAACATTGCCAGTTTCTTCTCTCCAGGACCCTCCAGTTTCTTCTGTCACCCAGACCCTCAGTAACTCCGGAAGTTCTCAGAATGCTGAGTCTTGGGGCTGAGGCAAATGAAAAAAGACAAAGTTAGAGCTCCCTGGGAGTGGGGAGAATGTTATGGGGTGGGGCCAGCAGGCTCAATGCTCTTGCAACTTCCTGCTCAGGATCCTGGGGAATCACTCCCATTTTCACAGGCCTACGACTGGATTGCTTCTTCAGCTGGATTTCTCCTGAACACAGCTCTTAAATTCTTTCAGACATGATTTGATGTGAGGCAGCAGTACCTTATCCAATCTGCATTTGACTTTGACAGTTTGGAAATGTGAGCCGTCCAGTCTGGGCAGCCAGATCTGGGAGAATCAGAGAGGCCAACACAACGTGGCCAGTAGAAATACCCTAAAGAGCCATTACTATGTGAATGGGTATATACAATGTGATGTGTCTATATAGAGGACTATTCACCCACAAGAAGGATAGGTACTGATGCATGCTGGGCCGTGGATGAAAATGTATGCCATCTGTAAGAAGACAAATGCAAATGCCGTGTGCTAGGGCTGCAGAGGTGGCTCAGTTGTTAAAGTGCTTGCTCTGTGAGCACGAAGACTCGATGTCAGGTCCTTGGAACCTGCTTAACTGCCAGGTACCCATGGAGTCCTGCCCTCGTAAGTCCAGACTCAGCAGGTGGAGACCGGATCCTCAGAGCAAGCAAGGCTAGCGCTGAGTCTAGCTGAGAGCCCCTGTTTCAGTCGGTGGGAGAGCAATTGGGGGTGATCCCATTAACCTGGGGCCTCTATTCCCATGTTCACGAATGCACAGATCTGCTCCCTCAAACATAACACAAACACATACACACACACACTACAGACACGTAGATAGACACAGAGACACACACTATAGACACACAGACACATAAAACAGGCACACAAATACATAGACACGCACACACACATACACACAATACAGACACACCTCCAAACATAAGACAGACATAGACATCCAGACACAGACAATACAGATACGTGGACGCACATACACACCAGAAAAAAATGGGGAAAGAAGGCACATGCCATATAGTTCTGTTTACATAAAGCTTTTCCAAACTTGGGTTGCCAGGCTCCCAGGCTACCGTAAACTACTGAAGGGGTCCAACATTGGGGACGGGGATAATCAAAATGTTTTGGTACCAGATGACACTGCAAAGCCTTGTGACTGTATGGAATACCACATAATCATCACTTAAAATGGTTAATTTGATCTGAATGCCAGTATGTTTGGTTTTTTTTTTTTTTCTAAGAGAGTGAGAGTTCTAATCCAGAAGAGGTGCACTCTAATCCTTACCTCCTATCTCCCTCTGGAACCTACTCAAGTGACGATGGCTCTGTGGTGTGAGGAAGAAGGAGGCCTTCGGGAAACACGGGCAAACAGAGCGAGCGGACAGCAGCATGCTTACCCTCTCTTGTCTGTGTTTCAGGTTGTGGCGTCCGTGGTTCATCAAGACAACTTTTCTGGCTTCGCCCCGCTGCAGCCACAGGTAAGGCCAGATCTCTCTGGGGAATAGCTCCCAGTGAGAGGACCTAGGCTGACATACTGATCTCAAGGATTCCTCAGCCACCTCTCAGCATGGCTGAGTATTTGGCCCCTACTTGAAGTCCCAGTTTACAGCCCTGGTTGGGATATGGCCTGTCAGCCCTGACTCCCGTCTTCTGAGGCCAGCTTACCAGCTCTTCCAAATCTCAAGCCTCTCTTTCCAAGTCATAAGACATCTGTCAATCACCTCATGAGAGGGCCCTTGTCCATCATTCCCTTAGAACACTGAAATGTGTGCTCTGGAAGCTTCTCAATAAAGCCACTCCATAGGTTCAGGAGGGAGGGAGGGAGGGGTGATCCAGGGCTTGGAGCCTAAGGGCTTTATCCATTTGTTCACATGCAAGAGATCCCTTTGAGAACACAAGGCGGGGTGCCAGCCCAAGCTGAGCTCGGAGAGATGGTTCCCGATGACATGTGGCAATCTGGCAATGGGTCCAGAGACAAAGACAAAGCTTGTGACACGAAAGCAGGGAAGCCAATTATGGAAAACTCAAGCTTGGTTGCATAACAGGGTGATTCGTAAGAGCAGCTGTCAGCACTAGCAGAGGAAAGGGCCGTGGACCTGGTCACCTCCCTGCCATCTGCTTATGCACTCTCTAGGATAGCAGTGACCCCCACCCCAAAAATGGCCAGGATGATCGATGGCTTGGGCCATGGGGATAGGATGAACACAGGGGCAGGAAGAGGGCCAGCCTCTAGATTCCCTGTCTTCTTTTGGCATGGTAAGGTTGGAGGAAGCCCGGCTGAGGTCCCTGGAGCTTCAGCCCAGCTAGAAGACAAGGGAGGAAAGTCCCAGGGAACAGACTCCATGACCTTCAGTGCACAGGGAATACACATTAAAGGGAGACTGTAGTCTGACCAGTAGATGCTAAGCTGGTTTTAAATATCCGGAAATGTCATAGACAGTGGCACACACTAACTATAAACCAGAGCTTTTGGAAAACACTGGGAGAGGGATGAGGTCAGAAGCCCAGAACCCGTCCAGCAACAATACCTTCTTCAGATACCAGCTCTGGGTCGGGTAGTTGCTGCTCTAGTGAAGCCCACATCCAGGCTGGCTGCAGGCTGCTGGCTTCCCAAATTGTGCCCCACCCCCACCCCCGGGACCACCAAGAAATGAAGTCTTTGGTTTTGGATCTGGAGGAAGGCTCAGATTACTGTTAACAGTCTGTTCTCTTCCTCCCCCTCACTCTTTCTCTCGTCATTCCCCCCCCCATCCCGTCTTCATTTTTTTTCCTGAATGTTCCACAGGCCACAGAGCCTCCACCCAGACCCAAAACTCCAGAGATCTTCAGGTAAGTTTGATTTCAGTCACCATGCAGAATGCCCACACTCTCCGCTTGCCTGGATGGCAGTAAGGGTGTAAAGAGAGCAAACCATGTGTCTAGGATGTTAGGCTCCTCCTGTTTTCAAGGTTAGAACCAAAGGGTGTGGTTGGGATGGGAGTCTTATGGTGGGGTGACCACTGGGGGCCTAGCCACAGCGACCTTGTGTCCTAGCGGGCGTGGCTGCCCACAGAATGGGAGGTCATTGAAGCTGTGACTATTGGAACGTGGCCCAGGTCAGACGTGAGAGGTCAGGATTGTACTGACTACGGGCCCCTCGGAAGCCCTCTGGACTCCGGAAGCTATCACGGAGGCTCCTTCCTGTGTGGGCGCTGTCACCCAAGAAGAAGTCACTCTGTAAATTGAGAAACAGAGTGGCCTAACCGAAGTTAAGCAATCCCTCTATGGAACAAAGCAAGCCTACTTCCCCCTCCAATAAAGTGTGTGTGTGTGTGTGTGTGTGTGTGTGTGTGTGTGTGTGTGTGTACTATGGGGGATCCCAAAGTGAGGGGCTGATGGGCTCATTCTCAAGCTCCCTAGGCTGAAGAGGTTGAATTGCCCACAGTATCAGGTAGGGGATTTGGAAACAGAGGCAGGGCTGGTTGGGGACTGAACAGGTGGAGGCTGATACCCTGTGCTCTCCCAGCTTCCAAGGCAGCCTCACTCATGAGTTCCATGGGGCACAGATGAGATGCTCCAGATGTGGGGGAGTAACCGGGCCCTCCAGGGGCCAGTGAAGGGCAAAGGCCACGGCCTAACATAAAGCAAGGCCGCTGCAGATCCTCCATTGTGCCTTTACTGCCTGGCTCCTCTCCGGCTCCCCACAAGGCTGGCCTAGGTAATAAGTCCCTCCCCTGGTGTTCCCTGCCTTCTTCCCATGTCAATCCCCTGCCCTTACTTCCTGTCCACCATAGGCAGAACCTGGGAACTAGCTTTCTCCTCAGGAGGGGTAGAGGATAAGGACTGTACAGCCTCATTATATTGTAGAGGGTTTTTTGTTTGTTTGTTTGTTTGTTTGTTTTTTCTTTCTTTTTTCAGTTATCTCCCTTTAACTGCAGTCATCCTGTCTACCATTTCAGTTACCTGTGGTCAACCATGATCCAAAAATATTAAGTGAAATATTCCAGGAATCAGTCATTAGTTTTATATTGGGTTGTGTCAGTGCAAGCCTAGTCTGTATAGGAAGTTAGAAGCCAGTTATGGCTAAATAACAAGACCTCCCCTGTCTGAAAAACAAACAAAAACAAGCAAAAAAACAACTGAAAGAAGCTTTAAATTGCTTTTCGAATTCTGATCAGAGAGAGAACTCCCACCTGCCTGAAATCCATCCTACCAAGGACACATAGCACGCTGCCTGCCCTCTAGTGACTTGGTGGCCACCCGCCTACACAGGCTCGTCTGTCATGCCAGGAGGGTGCAGAAAGAATGTTGAGGAAAGGGTGGGAGAGGACAATGGGACACCTGTGACATGAAAGCAGGGGGAACCCGGGGTGTTTGTGTATAAAGGGCACAAGGCGGAGAACTGAGGTTTGAGAGAAAAGGGGGTAGGAAAAACCAACAGAATCAAAATTTATTTGAGAAATTCCATCACGAAACCTAATACCGTGTGCGTTAATTGCATCAGAGCAAAACAAAAACAAAACCCGTGGCCACTGAGATGCTCAGAGGGTAGAGAGCTCCCTGGGCAAGGCTGGTGACCCAAGTTAGTTCCTCAAACTCAAGGATTGCACAAAATTGTCCTCTGACCTCTCATTGTGCACCGTGGCACATATGTCTCCCTCAGACACAATAAGTAAAACTTTAAAAAATAGAAATGAAAAAAGTTCAGTAAAATAAAGTGAAGGTATCTTTTGAAAAGGATTGGCACATTATTATGATGCTTGTTCCAATACCCTTTGTGTTGACTAATAATGGTCCCAAATCACAAGAGTAGTACGGAGAGCAGCAGCTTGTTTATGACAAAGCTATAAAGTTGTCTTCCACGCTAAAAAGCGAAAATTGATTTAAAAGGGAAAGGGGCTCGCATTTCTGATCAGTGCCTTTGAGAGGCTGAGGCAGGAGGATTGCACAACGTTCAGGCCAGCCTGAGCTACCGAGAGTGATAGCCTGTCTCAAAAAACAAAAGACAATATAAAATGGATGAAGCCAGGCGTGGTGGCGCAAGCCTGTAATCCCAGCACTCTGGGAGGCAGAGGCAGGCAGATGTCTGTGAGTCCGGGCCAGCCTGGTCTACAAATCAAGTCCAGGACAGCTAAGGCTGCACAGAGAAACCCTGTCTCAAAAAACCAAAATAAAAATAAATAGGTAGATAAATAAAATGGGTGAGTAATGGGAGGGAGTGTTGTGCACAAAGCGTTCTAGTCCTTAAGTGTAAAGGGGAAGGAATTTACGCTGGTTCTGCTGGCACCCCGCAGACTGTAAGAGTTGCATGTTCATTCCGCTTCCCTTCTGAAGCAGAAGTCCTCACATTTGTGTTCGTGGGTAGAGGAGAAGCACAGGGCACACAGGGTTCACCCATCTCTTGGGCCCTTGGTTCGCGCTGTGTTCCCCGAGGATAAGGAGACTCTCGCGTGGTTATGGAACACTCACAGGCCCCTCGGCATCGCCGGCAGGCCAGCACCCCGCACTGGTTAAGATGCGGAAGCGAGTGCCACGCCGAGTCTCTGCAGTCAGGGAGTGTGGTCCAAGCTGAATGAGGGCTTTGGTCTTCTGTGTACCCCTCAGGGCCCTGGAAGGTGAGGCACACCGCGTGTTGTTTGGCTTTGTGCCGGAGACACCGGAAGAACTACAGGTCATGCCAGGGAACATCGTCTTTGTCTTGAAGAAGGGCAGTGATAACTGGGCCACAGTCATGTTCAATGGACAGGTATTCGGAGCGTCAGGGGGAGGTGCTGAGGGCATGGGGACAGTAGACATGCCATCATTTGCAGAACTGCCAAGGGCCATCTTCTGTGTGCTGCTGCAGGCTGTTCTGTGTCTTGGGTACTGATGAGTCTTTGTTTTCCCTTTCTGGGCGCCGGAACGTGACACTGCAGAAGGGGCTTGTGCCTTGCAACTACCTGGAGCCTGTTGAGCTTCGGATTCATCCTCAGTCGCAGCCCCAGGTACAGTAGCGCCAAGGCCTCGCCCATTCAACCCTCTCAGCCATCACACAACTCACTAGAGGGAAGAAAGTGTGAAAGGAAGGGGTGGTGTCCCTGTCAGGGAAGAAAGACACTGGTTCTGGGCCGCTTGAGCTGGTGTCAGAGGCCCAGAGCTGAACCTGGATATGAGGGGAAAAGATCAGCTGTGGAGGCAACTGCTAAGAATCTACTGGACTTGCCCAGCTCTGTGAGTCCTCTTGGTCAGGGAGAGCTAGGAAGTAAAGCCTGACCGTTAGGGTTAGGAGTTCCCAGGCGCGTCAGTATGTTCCATTGCTGCACTGCCATTAAAAGTCGGAGCAAGGACTGGAGATGTGGCTGGATTGGTACAGTGCTTGTATAGCATTCGTGAAGCCCTGGATTCCATCCTCAGCCCTGAATAAATCAGACACGATGGCATATGCTCCTGACGCTTGGGAGGTGGAGGCAGGAGGATCAGAAGTTTGTCATCCTTAGCTACACTACACGGTACTCTGATGATGGCCTGTAGTCTCTCTTCACTCTGTGCGATGAGACGCGCAAGTGCTGAGCCCTCCATGTCTGGTCAGGAACTTGAGGTGCTTTGGAGTTTCAGGTACCCTGAGAATGGGAAATGGAACTGTCCCTCTCTCAGTACACTCTGCAGTTGAGACAGAAGCCTGTCATGTCACCCCACTTTGGTGGCTTTTCAACATGGCTGATCGGATGGCAAAGGACCTTGTCTGTGGGCATTAGGATTCACATTGCTGCTGTGAATTAGCTCCCCTTCCTTAGCCATCTCCCCGTGTTATATCCCTTCAACTCTTAGGAAGTCATTTGCATGCAGCTTCTTTCCACGGGAGCCCTCTCATGCTTTTATCTGACCTTGTCTGTTTCCCCTTGTCACCTCCAGGAAGACAGCTCCCTGGAATCTGATATTCCACCGCCTCCGAATTCTAGTGCCCCAGCAAGATCCCAGTTGTCACCAGGTTGGTGGCCTTGGGGAAGGAGCTCTCTGGGATGCATCATGACAGACACCTGTTTTCACAGCCATCCAGGATATACTGCTTTCTTTGCCCAGTGAGCCCCTTGCTTTATGACTCCATTTTCCCCAGAGCACTGTCTTGTCTGCACCATCCATCATCTCACTGAAACATGATGCCAACACCCTGCCCTCACCTTCTTAGAAATGAGTGCAGGGGGGAGGGGCAGCAGGTGCTCATCACCAGAGCAGTCACCTCCACCAGGCTGGAGAAGAAAGGCTGAAGCAACCTCATTTCCCCCCGGTAGCTCTTTTCAGACCACTCATGCTCCACAGAGCCGAGCCTGGGGCTTGAACTTGGGTTCGCTGGAAGGTGTGGATGGGAGGTCTTTCCGGGAGGATCTCTGCTAATCTGGGTAGGGAAGATGATGCCTATTTGTCACCAGTGAATTTAAGCAGATTCTGATGGTGATGACAGAGGCGTCCTGTGCTCCATTCCCTGATTATTAGAACTGCCTTGATGCCTCTCCCATGTATATTTATTTGGAAAATTGCAAACCTGCCGAAAAGTTGAAAGTAGGCCACACTGAATACTACACACTTTTCACTTAAATACACCAGTTATGTGCCAGCAAGGTGGCTCTGTAGTTAAGGACACTTGCTGCACAGTCCTTGTGGCCTGAGTACATTCACCAGGATCTACATAAAGCAGGAAACGGGGAATCAAGGCCACAAAGACGTTTTCCTCTTGCCTCTGCCTGTCAGGGCATGTGCCCTCGTATCACGCACACACAATAAAACAAAAACTTTAAAGGGAAACAGCACATCCGTTCCTTACATTTTACATCATGCAATTGCCTTGTTCTCTACCTCTATGCGCAATGAGAGCCACTTAAGTGTATGTTAGAGACCCATGACAGAGCCTCCCTGGATATAACTCCCCCATGAAGGAGCATGGCTTCTGCCAAGGGACGCACTTCATATCCTGGACCTCGACCACTAGCAAGGCGCCTGCTCCACGTGTGAGTGCCTCCATGGCCCCATCCTGTGTCCTTCAGAGCTTTTTTGTTCTTACCTCTTCTGTCTGGAGGTTCTCGAAGGGACACACGCTGGAGAGATTGGACTACCAGACCACTGATGGATGTTAGCAAAAGGTCTCAAGTCTTTCAAACATTGTCAGTACATCCTCACTGGTAAACAGGTTTAGACTTTGCTTTCTCTGTCCGTCTCTGTCTGTCTCTCTCTGACTCTCTCTCTCTCTCTCTCTTTTGGTTTTTTGAGACAGGGTTTCTCTGTGAAGTCTTGGCTGTCCAGGACTCGCTTTGTAGAGCAGGCTGGCCTGGAACTCACAGAGATTTGTCTGCCTCTGCCTCCCTGAGTGCTAGGATTACAGGCGTGTGTCACCGCGCCTGGCTTCCTCAGATTTCTCTTATACACACACTGCTGTGCTAACATATTACGAATTTTAAACCACAAACATACAAAACTACAGGACCATGAAATGGTAATGGTTGTGGTGCTTCTGCCTGGGGCACAGACTCATCTCACAGGTCTGTCTTCCCTCTGCCATGGGTCCTCCTGGTTTCACTGATCTTGGGGCCAATCCTCTGACAGTTACCTACAGGTAGCTCACTGGGAGCAGAGACTGGCTTTGCTCACGTGTTCGTGTTCTCCGTGCTTCTCCAGACGGAGATTTTTCTCGAGAGTTGGCTAAGGTTCAAAACCGCCCTGGATGTTAAAGGATAAGAAGCTGGGCTTCGTGGGTGGCAGGGCTGACACGAGTACTCATTTACCATTTTCTTTTCCACTTAGGTCACAAGCAAAAAGGAGAGCCCAAGGTAAGTTCTTCCTTCTGTGTCCGGGTGAAGAAGATGGGTGAGCCTGGCTTGTCTAATGTGGGATGTCTCTCAGGATTATGGAATACAGCGAAAAGGGCTGAACCAGTTGCCATCTGATACTCCGTCTACAGGCCAGGAACCCTTCCATGTGTGGCATACCAGCCCCTAGCTGAGCATCTAGCTCAGTAGAAACCTATCTAAATGAGCCAGATTAGAGCCTTGTGAAGGCCCCCAGCAGTGTGGAAACCAGTTGTCCATTTATTTATCCATTTTTATTTATTAGATGTATTCAGTATTAACTGGTAAGAACCAGTTGTTTATTTCCTAAAGCTCCCCTCTTCCCTGGGGTACTCCTGGTGCCTGCACACAAAGTGTTGGAAGGCTGTGGTGAAAAGCCAGGCTGCTGCTGAAAGCCACTAAGGGGTTCTCTGTCCCTCCTCCGTCAGGAAGTGAAGCTCAGTGTGCCCATGCCCTACATGCTCAAGGTGCATTACAAATACACGGTGGTCATGGAGACCCAGCTCGGCCTCCCCTACAGCCGGCTTCGGGACATGGTGGCTAAGAAACTGGAGCTCTTGCCAGAACACACTAAACTGAGGTGAGCCTCATACAGGTGGCAGCTGGGGATGCAGAGGCGTGTGTGTGTGTGTGTGTGTGTCTTGTACTGATGAAGATGACTGGCTATGGGGTGTTTTCTATGCTGATTCTCTCTTGTCTTGGTCCTTACCCATCATCCCTACCAGCTACCAGCCTCGGGACAGCACTGAGCTTCTGCTCCTGTCAGAAGAAAGCATGAAGGATGCCTGGGGCCAAGTGAAAAACTACTGCCTGACTCTTTGGTGTGAGCACACAGTGGTGAGTGGAGGGAGCCCAGGCACCCAAGGTCATTTCCACCAACTGAATTAAGTGTTTCTCCAACATCATCTACACGCCACACAATAGGCTCAGTGATGGGGACACAGTGGCTTACAGGCCCATCCAGCTACAGCAGGGACACTGTCTCATATGAGCGAGCCCAGAAACAGACAGCGAGCCTCAAGGTGCCTCCGCTAGATTGACGGGGTCAAGGGTCATGGCCATCACTTGCAACAAGGACAGGAGTGGTGATGCTATGGCTAAGCTGAGATCACAGCTACTCTTCACCTTGGGTTTCTATGAGGAACATTCAAGGATGATGGAAAACAGTGAACATTTATTCCACAGAGGACTAACAGCCTCTTCCTGAGAGCTGGCATGTTGTTATAAAAAAAGAAGATCACGAATCGTTTGATTTTACCAACGATGACTTGGGAGCCAGATGATGGGGTGAAAAGTTGCTAGCTCAGAAGGGCAGAGAAAGCACCCAGCTGACCTTCCTACTCAGCTCAGGCCCCAGAGGAAAAGGCCTGTTAGCTTACCTGACAGCCCAGGAGGACAAAAAAACAAAACAAAATCTAAAAGTCAAAGAGCCAAAAAGCTTTCTTCTCCACACTGTCATCTTAAATACCCTTCTCCCAAAGTCTGTCCTTTCTTGTTACTTGCTCCACCTCTTCCTTCCTTCCTTCTTCTTGTTCTTCTTCTTATTTTGGTATTTCCAGACAGGGTTTCTCTCTGTAGCCTTAGCTCTCCTGAACTTGATTTGTAGACCAGGCTGGCCTCAAACTCACAGAGATCCATCTGCCTCTGCCTCCCTGAGTGCTGACATTACAGGCATGTGCCACGATGCCAGCTTTGCTCCACCTCTTGACCTAAGGTTAACTTTATTAAACCCCGTGTATAGAAAGTTCTTGGGTTAAAGGTGTGTTAGGGCTGAGCCACACCACAAGAAACAGGTGTTTACAGTTCAGTCTTCAGGTTTACAATGGGATCAAATATCCTGCAACACTGGCATCTACGGAGAACTGCTCCCAGTTAGACCCTGTGCCAAATGCGCTGTGAAGGAATTCTTACAAGTCCCCAGTGCTCCTATTCATGTATGCATATCACGTTGTAATTTAGGAAACACGGGAGAGAAAGGTCTAGTGACCTGACATGGACAACAGAGCTGCTCAGGGGTGGAGTGCCTGGCTTTATGTCTGTACTCTATCACCATGCTGTAGTGAAAACACAAGGCCAAACTGCCTTACTAGCCCTGAAGTCTAGACAGGAGTCATGTGATCTTAAAGGGAAATTTATTGAAGTTAGGAGAAAAGTGACAGTGACAGTGATGGGTGAACATCACTGTCCCTTACTTTCCCATAACTTTGTCCCTTACTTTCCAGAGAGAAGTTGCCACTTCTTTTTTTAGTGCCTGTGCTATTGTTCTGTTCAGAAAGTTGTCTCCTGTGCCAGTGCAGTCTCATTCTGTACCCTATGTTGCCTCTATTTGCTTTCTGTCAGCCTTTAAGTGGATTTTCACAGGAGCTGCCCATTTCCTTTAAATGTTAAATGGTATATGGTAGAAACTTCACTTTATTCTGTTGGGGCATATTTGCCTACAAATGATTTCACTTAAAATGTTCTTGTAAACTGTTACTTTTCCTTCAGGGAGGCCAAGCTATTTGAATCCGTATGCACAGAGCTCCCTCAGACTCCCAACACAGTCTTTTTAGAACCCTACCCAGGCTCGTCACTGCTGATGTTCTCAGCCACTCTTGCCCATAGAGGCTGTTAAGCTGTTCTCATCTGCTAACTAGGAAAAGCAAAGCGAGTTGCCGTTCGCTGTGTACCCACTCAGTGCGTTAACATGTATGACCAGCTGGATTCAGGTACTTCTGTGTCCTCAGTAGGGTACTTCACAGAGCAAGTATTGAGTAAGGGCCAGCTGTTCCGATGTCACAGTGTCCCTGTTTCAGCATCGGGTTTCAGCATCAGGCGTGGAAGCAGGTTCAGAGGCTGCACTGCTACTAGCTAGTAAGTGGGACCTGGTACGAAGACCTGGGAACCTAGGACTTGGCTACAGAGATGGCTCAGCAGTTAAGAGCACTGACTGCTTTTGTAGAGGATCTAGGTTCGATTCCTGGCACCCACATAGCGGCACCAGGCATGCACATGGCACACAGACATGCACACAAACAAAACACATAAAATAGAAAAGAAAAACCAATTAGGTTTGCAAGCTATTTCCACCTCACTGTACTGCCCTACAGAAGACATACAGCCAGGAATGGTGCATTTCTGTAATCTCAGAACTTAGAGGCTGAAGTAGGTGACTTCCAGGCAATCCTGAGCTACCTGGGACTCTGCCTCAAAATATTTTTAAAATAAAAGTCATTGTTCTGAAGCTTTCCAGAGTATCAGAATTACCTAGAGCTAGCTCTTAAGAAAGCTGTCTTAGTGGGTTTAAGGTGGACCCTTAGTGTTTGTGCTAGGAAAAGTGGGTGAATTCAGTGCCAAGAAACTTAGTTAAGGACCACAGAATGACTCAGCAGAAAAGGGCATTCACTGTCTGGCTTGATGACTTAAGATCAACTCCTGGGACCCACATAGTAGAAGACAAGTGACTTGCCCAAGCTGTCCTCTGATTCCACTTATACACCATGGCGCGTGCACGCACGTGCGCACACATGGACACACACATGTATGATAAAAAAAAAAAAAAAAACTGGCTGAAATTTTACCATAGATTACCATTTACTTCTGGCTCAAATTATTTTCCAATCTGAAAAGAAAGAACAATGCCTACTGTACCCTGGGACTAAGTATGGCAACTTAGGGCTACAAAGGGTTCCACACTCTGGTTTCATTTACAAAACCACTTGGCCTTCATAAAATGTTTTAGATGATCGAAGAACCTGCCACTGAGTCTATGTCAGAGACAGCCCCTGCTCCCCTTGGGAACCCAGTTGGAGACTGAGCTGCATATGGTCTACATCTGAGCAGGAGGTCTAGGTCCTCCACACATGCATGGTCTTTGGTTGGCACATCAGTCTCTGCAGGAATCCCTGAGCCCAGGTTTTTTGGCTCTGTTGGTCTTCTGGTGGAGCTCCTGTCCCCTCCAGGTCCTTCTATCTCCCCCTTCTTCCATAAGATTCCCTGAGCTCTGCCCAAAGTTCAGCTGAGTCTCAGCATCTGCTTCAGTAATAAATAATAAATCAATTAAAACAAAGACAGTCAGCCAAGCACCAGCACCAAACTTTCTGTGAAGATAAATATGTGACCAGCTTTCTCCTGCTGCTCAAACTGTGGGCTGAAATAAACTCTTTTAAAAAAAAAGTTTTAGGCTTATGGTAAGTACTGAGTATCAGCTGCTTCCATTAGTGGTAAGCACTCACTGGTGAACAAATGAGCACATTTAACAGGTCCCTTATTATTTTAGGGTGATCAAGGTTTTGTAGATGAACCCAAGGAAAGTGAAAATGCTGATGCCAATAACCGGACAACAGAGCCTCAGCCTAAGGAGGGGAGCCAAGTGGTGGCAATCTTCAGTTATGATGCTACCCAGCCAGAAGACCTGGAGTTCGTGGAAGGGGATGTAATCCTGGTGCTGTCTCATGGTAAGGGCTACTCCATGACCACAGAACCAGACTCATGTTATCAGGAAACACAAGGCCAAGGACCAACAAAGGAAAAGATGAACTCTTAGCCGATAGTTTCAACTCACTTCCTAGCTTTTGGTGAGAGGAGGCAAAAGCAAGTTTGTGCCTTTCTCCTGTTTGTCGCTTTGTTTGGCACAAGACTATGACAGCATACTGAATGCCCCAGGAATATAATGGGCAGGAATTATTCTGCCTTGGCTATAAACCATGTAGTACTTTCCAGAGAACAGGAAAGGCCCATTCTGCTGCAGAGGCAGCCAACTGTCGGTGACTTACCTAATTAATAGGAACCTGCAGATTAAAAAGTGACGTGGGAGGGAGAGATGGTTCCGTGGGCAGCAGTGGTGATGCTTGCTGCACAGGGATCATAGCACCTATGGGAAAAGCTGGGGGTGGCCATACTCACGCCTAATAACTCCAGCACTGTGGGATGGGAGACAGGTGGCTTGATGGGGTTTGCTGTAGCCTCAGGTCCAGATTCACTGAATCCATCTTAAAGGACAGAGCAAGACACTCAACTTCTGGCTCTTGTGTGTGCAGAAGCTTGTGCAGCACACACACAAGGGAAACAGTCTGTGAAGTCTCAGTGATTGTATGAAAATTCATTATGCCTAAGCATCCTTTAAAGGGTTAAGTTCCTTAGGCCACCTTCCAGGGTCAGTTATGGGGTGAGATCCACATATTTGCACTTCTCAGCTGTCTCCAGGTGACAGAAGTCTAATTATGACCAAGAAGCACTGGTATAATTCAGGTGCCTTCTCTACCCGTTCGTTCACTAATGCTGAGCATCAGTAATGCAAAGTTGTGTATAGCTGACTTTAACAGTAAACCCAACAGATGGAGAGGTTTGAAGTCACCTGGGTAGAGTATAACAAGAATGTAGCAATCCAAAGAAGTGTTTTCTTTCAAAGGAGACTGGAAAATCAGCAAGGACTGGACTTAGAACCACCACTACTCTGTGGATGGAACATTAGCTTCTCTCTGTGTGCATACTGGCGTCAGGAGTAAAGTAACAGTGAGAACACACACAACAACCTTCAACAGACACCATATCCTATGACTCAGATGGAAGTCTCAGTGGTTTAAGATGGGAAGTGGGCCCCTGTGGTTTGACTCTATCTTCAAGATAACAACGGGAGTCAGAATTCAGCAAACACGGAACCAGGAATGAGAGCAAGTTCAACTGCTCTCAACAATCACTGATGGCCTGTTTCATTTATAGAGTATTTCCTAAACTTTAATGTGCATGTGACTTGCTGGGATATTCTTCAGGTGGACTTTGGCTAAGGCTTGGGATATGGCCGGAGGTTCTGCATTTCTGATGTTCCTAAGACCCAGGCAAACAAGGTGCTTTTAACCCATACCATAAGTACGAAGAATGAAGGCGGTGGTTTGCACTTGTCTCCAAATGGAACCTGGTGAAAATTAATGCCTAGCCACACTCCACACTATCAAGTTTTGTTTTTTTGCTCAAGACAAGGTCTCACTATGTAGCCTTGGCTGACCTGGAGCACACTATGTAGACCAGGCTAGCCTGGAACTCAAGAGATCCACCTGCCTTTGTCTCCCAAGTGCTGGGATTAAAGATGTGTACCACTATGCCCAACTACAGAACTTCCGAGGGCAGGACCTAGGCAAGAAGGCTCTAACAGCATATCCAAAGAGAACTTCTGAATGCCTCTGTGGTCTGTCTAGATGAACATAATTAACTTATGTGGTCTGATTCAGTGGATGTAATTAAACTCTGGATATTCCTATCCTTAGTAAAAATGGAGACAATACTTTTTACAAATGTATTAAAAACGCACCACTAGCTCTATCTTTAAAGGCATTTACCAGCATGCCCCTTCGTATTATCAAAATGAATTCCAGCAAAGTTCAGATAAAACTGCTCCTTACAAAAACAAAACCAAACCTCACCTGAGGAAGCATGATCAGTCCTTGCATCTTACTTCTGGTAGGTAACTCATCCTACATTTAATTGTATTGATCACAACAGAACCCAGTGAAGATGGCAAACATGAATGTTCACTTTAACCTCAAATTACTTTCCAGTATTTTATCACAAATGGAAATAGGGGATGATCAGTAGATATTAAGTGCAGATTACTCCTAATGGTACATTTTTCCTGTTTTTAGTAATTCTGTATATTTTGTTTTTTCAGTAAATGAAGAATGGCTGGAAGGAGAATGTAAAGGCAAAATTGGTATTTTCCCTAAAGCTTTTGTTGAAGGGTGTGCAGCCAAGGACTTGGAAGGCACTCCCAGAGGAGTCTAGGGTGTTCCATAATTTACGAAGCTGAAGAAAAGGAGTCCATGCTCCCTAGACCCCTCCACTCCCCAGTTTACCCATCTTTGTTGTGAGCTATACAGAGACATCAGTTTGGAGACGTTGACTAACAACATGTCTCTATTAAAACTGAACCTGTCACACAGTAACAAGAACTGGGGATGAAGATTTCCTTGTACATGGAGAAGGGAGATGAATTTCTAGAAGGGAAATGAAAGGGTTTTGGGGGCTGGCTCAACAGCCAAGTGGAAATACTCTTCCTTTATTAACAGCTTGGATTCTAGATGTTTAAAGCAAATTTACATTTAATTCTGTGTATGCACACAGAAAATTAACTCATTAAAAACAAGGAGCTGGAAAGTTGGCTCAGTGGTTAAGAGTACTGACTGCTCTTCCAAAAGACCCAGGTTCAATTCCCAGCACCCACATGGCAGCTCACAACTAACTCCAGGATCCAATAGCCTTACATAGACATATGTGCAGACAAAACATCAATGTACATAAAGAAAATTAAGAAAAAACAAAAACAAAATCAAGCTTAAGTTTCATTGAAGAGAAAAGCCAGAGTGAATCAGGTCAAGAAATAGACTGTTTAGTCCCATGGAAAATTAAACTCTTAGGACGATGACCCTCCAAGCCTTCTCAGATGGACATTTATTAATAAGAGTTCAATAGTGAACAAAGACCACTAACACTGGAATGATGAAAATCTGTGTTCAGTGCCAGCTTGTTAGAGACATTCTGGGGCATTTCATGTGTTGTTCAAGACGTATCACTTTGGTGATCCTTCAGGTTAACTGGAGACAGGGACCCCTAGGTCCTGTATCTCGGGACCTCATTGCTCTGCCACTCCTTGCAGCACATATGATTTTGCCATTTTTCAAGTCTGTACAGGTGGCAAGAGAAAAGCTGGTAGCAAGTAAGTTTTTCATGGAACCAAAATCTAGGTGAGAGGCTGGCAGTGTGAGCCTTGGTCTCCAGCACAAACTGAAAAAGAATCTACTCCAAGGCTAAGGTGGTCATCACTATTGGCATTAATAACTCAGTGAATCTTACAGGCCAGAAGATAACCAATCTCTGAATTGCCTCCTGCTGAGCTACAAAATGGACAGTTCCTGCCTTTACAGAAGTCACTCTATCAAAAAACTGTTAAGTTTATTTCTAACTATCATTTCCAGAACAAGTCACTGGAATGCCAAGAAAAACAAAATTTATCCCCATTTGTAGTCATCTTTGTTTTTCTCCTGTTGAGTGAGCAACTGAAGTCCTAAATTGTATTTTTACTTCTGTATCCTTTAAGGAAGAATAAACACTCTACACAGATCTGGTTGGAGAGAACACGGTTTAATTAAAGGCAAAGCTGATTTCAGCAGCTGCAGATCTTGCACAGACAGACAGGAAAAGAAAGAAAAAAAAAAAAAACCTAAATCAAATCAAAACAAAACACAAGAGAAAGTTTATTACACAAAACCAGTTGATGAAGATTCTCCTCCCTTTCCTCATCATCCCACAGTGAGGACGGCGAGGCAAGGAGCCCCGCCGAGAGTCACAAAACATTCCAAACACCAAATTCTCATGCAGACTGGGGCTGTAGATGGGAAGTGGGCACTGCTGGGAGGGAGCTGGTCAACCTGTGGGCTGGTCTAAGGTGCAAGAGTCAGTGACATTTCCAACATCGGAATGTTGCAGCTGTCTGAATGCTGAGCTTACACACACAAACTGGGGGAAGGAAGCAGGGAAGGGGTAGGAAAGAGGACAAAGGTAGACACTGGGAGGCGACTGGAGCAGCACAGACAGTTTCTTTTGCCATTGGGTGAGGGGTTTCACTTTCAGACCTTTCAGAAAAACAAAACAAAACAAACCCCAAATACCATATCAGATTAAAAGAGTAATAGTGTAAGACTGGGGCTCCAATCATACTTTCTGAAGAGCAATACCTCACACCCCTTCTCATTGCTGGGGCTACCCAGATCCCAGTAACACCGGGGGCTCCTGGATGTGCTTTGCTCTACAGCTGTCTTCCAGCTAAGTTCCACACTAACCCCCACACTTAGCCCTTGCCCTCTGGGAGAGTAGATGGCCATGTGTGGACACACACACACTCGTGTGCATACACACACACAGGTACGCACACTCCTCCAAGAAAATAATCCCTACCTAGCACAGCAATTGTACATTTAGATTGCTTCCATAATTTCCCCTTAAAATATTACTTTTCCAGGAAATGACTAACAGAAATGCTGTCCTTCTGTTCCTACACAGAACATCTTCAGTCCTCTTCCCTCCTAATAAATATCAAATAGAGTTTATTTCTTTCTCTCGCCTTTTCCAAAGTGGCGTCCCTTGTGTTTTCTTCTGTGCACAGTGTGCATTTGTCCCTGTGGCCTTCAACTTCGTCCTTGAGGTGAAGGCTAGGAGCCTGCAACTGGGCAGAGCTTGGCTCCTCTGCAGCGATGAACGCACAATTGCTTCCTTCCTCTTCAGACTGGCTTTTGGGCCCCAAGTGCTGGCCCCATGCTGCTGCTTCTTGGCGAGATGTTGTACACATTAGAGATAAAAACAATTACTACAACACAGCATAAGGCTAAAGGGGTGGAGACTGGTGCAAGAGGCTGGGAAGCAGGATGGGGACACAAAAACCAACTCAACAAAAATAACCACACTGAAAGCATCCACCTATTAAAATGTGTTCCAGGCTATGAGTGGACTAGCCTGCCTTCTGAAACTGCTTGCTATGCTACTGCAAAAGTGTAGGAATCAAAAACATTAATTGAAATCTTACAGCAGCCACCTGCTGGTCTAGCCCAGCAGCACACCCACACTGCATCCTCGATTGGGGCTCGAGCACCTACAGAGTGAAGGGCATTTCCTGCTGGAGTTTCCAGGCTGGAGGAAGGCCTTCCAGAACCTTCTGAGAGGCCTTGTCCTCTCCCTTATGGAACACTCCCACTGGCTTAAGAGGTCAGTTCCCTGTCCTGTCACCACCGACCTCTCACAGGAGCGGCAAATGGTACTGTCTTTGCTCCACACTCACTAGAAGTACGCCTGTGTATGGAAGAATTCAGTGTGATATTTTGCTGCTGAGAGTAATAACAATAAAAGATGTTTAAGAGTAATTTCAACTACTTTCTCAGTCAGCAAAGCACTCATAATGGATTCCTATTTTATTCCCCAAAGAGGAAAAAAGGACTGAGAAGTTCCTATCGGCTTCTCCCATCTGCCTTCCCTTCTCAGCTTCCACTTCCCACGTGTTGGGGACATGCGCGGTGGAGAAGGGGAGAGGCGTGCTATCAGTAACTGAGTGAGACAAACAGCAGCTCCTCTCTCCCTCCGGAAAGCCCCGGGGGAACGAGAGTTCCTGATGGTTTTTCTTTTTGTTGCACTGCGAACATTTCGTGCACACTCAGCGGGCTGGTGGAACACTTACACCCTCTCGACAGCAAGAAACAGACAAGAGGGCTGCCACCTGCAGGGACTGTGTGGGCCAGTCCTGCAAACCCAACATGCCATGGTTTATGGAGCCTTCATTCCCTGGGTCGCTACTGTGGCCTCAGTGTGGAGGGTTCATGGCGCCTTGTCCCCGCTGCTGTTTCTGCTTCTGCTGCATTAACAATTGCTCCAAAGCGGACGGTCCAGGATGCATCATGGAACTGGACCAGATAGACTGAAAAACAGCCCAGAAGGTTGTCAGCAGAGGTCAAATGTCTTGGGAGTCTGACTGGTATTTGTTTTAAATCCCATCCACCCCTAAAGGCAGACATGTCCTGTTAGCCTACTCTAAACCCCAAGCAACTCAGCTCTAAGAAAAAGACATGAGACTCTAAAGGCCTGTTAGCTCCTAACCAAGATTACTTTAAACTGCAAACAGTGAAATTATTATTTTTAACCCCAAGCCAGGGCCTCGCTATGTATCCTAGACAGACCTACCCTACCACTCAGGGATTACATGTCCAGCTGAAATTATGTTTTCAGTCAGGTCCTTTTACGAAAACTCATATGGCAGGTACAACAGGATAAATTTACTATAAAGGTTTTAGGCAAATAAAACATTTAAAATTACATACTCTTAATAGGTCAAACAAGGCTTAACTCAAACATACCAAGATACACTTGAATTTTAACATTAGGATGAAACTAAACCTTTTACCATTTCAGATAACCTGATACTACACTTAGTTACTGATCCCAAGAGTCCTCTCAATTCCAAGAATGAAAGGAGACACAGGGCTGCAGCAGGAGCCTTGTGTTCCTGTTCCCAAAATCCACGCACCTTTAGGCTTTCCATGAGGACAGCAGAGGAATCCTCCATGGAGGGGCCGTGGCCTGTCCAGGTGCCACTTGGAGTGCTGGCCTGATGCCAACTGCTCTCAGATGATGTTGATGAGAGATAATCAATGCCAAAACCACCCATGGCTAAGAGAAGAAAATAAGTAAAATTTCCAACATGTTTTATCAGTAGCAGATACTAAGCTCCAGGCAAAGTCGGAGGAAGTCATTTCTCTTGTGTTCCAAAGATAAAGAAAAGTGGACCTCACCTGGTTTATCAGTTTTCCACCTATCTGTAGGCCGCCTGTCCCTGTTATCTGGAGTCCCAATGGGTCCAAAATTAGAAAATGGAGCAGAATTATGGTTATGTGTTGGAGGAGAACTGGGCAGGCTGCTTGGGTTTGAGGAATGAGGAGACTGGCTGGCTGGTGTTGAATGATCTGTTAAATAATAGCAATGTAAGAACCTTAGTAGGTATTTCACAAACCAAATAAAGAACTAATGTTTCCTTCAGATATGGTCATCAAAATATGAGTGAGAGCATTATAATAAGGCTTTGGAGAAAAGGCCAAATAAAGACCATGAGGCAATCTGTCAGATCATTGCTGTGTCTGATTGGACATATCAAAGGCACATTCTCTACCCTAAGAAGAAAACAAAACTGCAGAAAAATTTGTCTGATATGCAGCTCTGACCTGTTTCACTTAAGAATTTATAATTGTTATTTACCAGAATCAGAATAAACTGATCTTAAGACTTATTATAGGGGCTGGGGGAATGGCTAGAGGTTAAGAACACTGGCTACTTTTCTAGAGGTCCTGAATTCAATTCCCAGCAACCACATGGTGGCTCATAACCATCTACAATGAGATCTGGTGCCCTCTTCTAGCACACATGCAGGCAGAACACTGTATATATAACAAATTTTTAAAAAAGGAATTATCATAGCTGGGTATGATGGTATACACCTTTAATCCCAGGGCTTGGGAGGCAGAGAGTTACAGGCCAGCTTGGTCTACAAAGTGAGTCCTGGACAGCCAAGGCTACACAGAGAAACCCCCTCATCTGGCCTCGATGGGTACTGCACACATTTGGCACACAGGCAAATGCTCACACATATAAAATAAAAGTAAGTCCCTAAAACATCTTAAAAGAGAAACAAACATAATAATAAAAACCTTCTAATTTTAGACTGACTAATTCTTAGTCAACTATGTATAGAAAAAGCAAATTTTATAATTTAAGGACTACAGTTAATACCTGAACTGGCAGGAAGTGACGGAGACCATGGAGTTCCTTCAAAAAGGGAATACAGTGATGTTTCCTGGGAGGCAACTGAAGGGTTCAGTTCTGCCTTGGAGCTGGGTGCCAGGTTTTTCCCATACACTTCATTGAACATACTGCTGTTTGGATATCTTTCCTGAGAGATGAAGTTAACAACCCAGAAAGAGAGATTTAAGAAAGCCACGCTCAGTAATGCTCGACAGACCTTAGTTCTTAGTAAGACTTTAACTTCTTCCATTTTCATTTTCCCTTTTGTCTTTCTTTCATTCTGTATTTTGCTCTATGTAAATTATCTATCTGGGTAGTAGGGGGAGAAGGGAGTCATTTATTTGACCAAACACAGAAGCTCTAAAAAATTATTAATGAGAAATTTATAAGGCTCAAGCTCATAATAAATAGGTTACATGTCTACCCCATTCAGAGACAAAGGAAGTAAAATGAAGATATTATTATGAAGATAATATTACACTTAGAAGATAACATTACACCGAAAAGAAATCAATCTATAAAACAAAACAGGATTCTTAACTTTACTTACCTGATTGACAGAGAATCCAGTGAGGGACAGGAAAGAAGATGAATGTGACATGAGCTCTGAAGGCTTTTCCAATAAGGATTTCTTCAGTCCCAGGAACAAAACAAAAACAAAAACGGTGATTCCTTCCATTTTGAAATAAGAGACTACCACTTAAGCATGTGTTTGTCTGTCCCATGGTACAATAAGACTCAGAAAAGGCTAAGTTCATATCTGTCAATACCACACCACCAGCTAAGTGACAGTTGCTACGGCTGAGTCAGAACCTTCTTTTCTGGGCTTATCTGGACCAGCGAAGAGATGTGTTTTTAGGTATGACCCTGAGAAATTCTCTTACTAAAGGATGAAGACTTATCCGAGCACGTTTTACTTTCTAAAATGTTAAGACATTAATGACTTAAAGAAGCCTTTCAAATGTATTTTGATAGCTGGTTTTGTTTTCATGTTTTCTAAAGCAGCTGCATTTGTGATACACATTAAACTGCTAAGTTGACTTTCTGTTTAGTAGCCTTAAAAAAGTTATTGGGGTTGGGGAGGAGGCAGGAAAGAGAAAGCTGAATCCCCCTACTGATTCCTGTCTTTAGCACTTTAATAATCTGCTGAACATCCATTACATGTAAAGCATTTTCACACAGAATTATATTGTCAACTATGTTAAGTATAAGAAAAAGGTTTTTTTAAATGAGAAAAAAAGAGAGAGAGAGAAACATTTGAAAAGGTCCCATCTATACCATCAGCTCTGTTTCCATACAAATGAAAAAATCAGAAGGAAGGAGAGGAGTCCCTATCAGTGGACTTGGGGAGGGGCATGTGTGAAGAAGGGGGTGGGAGGGTGGGATCGGGAGGGGAGGAGGGAAGGGCTTATGGGGGGATACAAAGTGAAAAAAGTGTTAATTAATAAAAATAAAAAATTTCAAGAATAAAAAAAAAGTAAAACCTGGAAAAAAAATTAATTGATAAGGACACAAAAGCACAAGACAGGCACATATGCGCGCTGTGCTGCTATAGCCCCCACAACCCCCACCATCAGGGAGGCCTTCACTGCCACTTGCCCAGGCAACCTCAAGTACCAGGAATGGCAGCTACTAGCATAAAGCTATTTTTATTTCTTCTGGTTCTATGATTAATGTATTTTAATTGTCTAAGTATTTTACTGATCTCTATAGGAAAGAAAACCCCCAACATCTTTTAAAGTTGTCTTAGGATGTAGAGAGGGAGTGTGGGAGCCTTCATGATTTATAATTTTCTTCCTATGTTTATACCTCAAACCCTCAGTTTAAATACGATGTAAACACTATTGAGCATGAACAATGGCATTGTGCAGGCTAGAAGACTGTTTTCAAGCAGGTATCAGTAACCAATTCTTGCATTTTATTCTATATTATCCTAATTATTCATAGTCATTGCCACTCAGTTACAGTCCTGTAGCCCTGTTTCTAGACAGTTTCTTCATTTTTACCCATTCTATTTGACAATTCCAACTCTGAATTTAGATCAGGGCCCTTTTATGGTTCAGTGAGCCAAACAAGAAAGAGCCACACACTATTAAGTCATTCAACTGTAAAACGTTGAATGTTATTTCCTGTAATATTTCAAACATATTTGGGAATTAAATCCCTAAATAATATATTATACAACATTTGACATTTGAATTCAGGTGTACATAATACCCAAGAAATTTGCCAGCACAGAGTACAGGCAGACCAGTACTATATGTTTTCTGACTGACACATATCCAAGCTATAGCTCTAATTTGGGGAATTAGTCTGTACCAACTGGCTGTGCTCTATTATAGTATCAGGTTAATTTCAGGCAATATGGAAATAAACTTTCTATTCCTATACAGAGGAAAGCCCCAGAAAGAGTTCACCTATAATAAGTATCATAAAAACCTCAGAAAAGCAGCTGTGGTTGGTTAGAGCAGGAAGCAGAATTATGTCAAATACATACAAAGAGGCTCCGTCCAGGAAGAGAGGCGAGAGGACCCAGCAGAGCTGGGTAAAGATCAGGAGGGTTAGAAAAGATCAGCTCTTCCTCTTCCTCCAAGGCAGCCAGACTCTTTAACAGGTCCGGAGGAAGCAGAGGGGAGCCCTTGGGGTCCTAGTGACAGAAAGGATCATGTGAGATGCAATTAGGGACAAAAGCATGTAAGAATAGTATGTGATAGCATGATTGATTAGCTGGACAACACAACTAATGCCAAAGGTAGAGACATAATTAACTGTTATGTAGCAGACAGAGGGAAAGGCTGAAAGACAAATATAAAGTGACATGGCCAACAGTGAAGGAAGACCAAGACAGAGAAGAGTAAATCTACTAACACAGCAGGGCACAAGTGTTAATACAGGCAGTGAGTAAACACAGGAAACAGCTCTTCCAAAGCTATGCACCTGTTCTTCCTGAATAACAAGAGCAAGGAGGTAACTGACTTTGTTCCACTAAATTAGTTTAAATACCCACAAGACCCATGTTTAAACTTACATGACTCACCGCTACTAAAGAGTTCTTCTCAGAATTCACCACCATGAGTCCACTAGATATTTTTGACAGACCAGTAGAGTTCAATAATACAGTTCAGCTACTGAATTTTTAATTCCTCAATCTAAGTACACATGATTTGAAGAGATCAAATCCTTACCATGAATTGTCTTTATAATGGTTACATCTCCTAAAAATGTATAAATTGTTATGTATCAATTAAAAAGGTGTACCTATTTGAGACATTCTAAAGCTACGCATTCCTATATCTATCTCCAGGAACCTGGTAATGGGAAAGAACAACACACCTCAAATGGCATCCTAGGCACAGGATCCTGCTCTGGACGGAAGACTCCTGGTGACCGTTTGCTCCTGCGATCCATGTTTGGTTGCTGTGCCATTACTGCTCTGTTATCAGCCATGCTGTACGAAGAATCCCAGTAGTACTCTGGGACCTTGACTTCTGAGGGATTGTGGTTATATGGCTCCATGGGGAAAGGCTTCATTTTTTTTTCTAGAGGCTGTTGCTGTATTACAGGAGGTTGCAGTGACGGCTCAAACAGTTTTATAGGGTCTTGGGTCTGAAGGTAGTAGGGCTGTTTCACAGGCATGATTTTCCCTAGTGGGCCTTGAACCTGAGGGGGATTCCACAGCTGTTTGGAGGCATCTGCCTGTTGATACTAAAAAAGAGGCGCCTGTCAAGAAGATGAATAAAAACTGCAATCTCATTGATAGTTAATAGTCTAGCAAAAAAAAAAAAAAAAAAATGCAGTTGCCTTACTTCTTCAGAAATTCTGAGAAGATAAGGACCTTGAACCCTCATCTTTTTTTTTCAAGTCAAGTAAGTTTAATGAGTGTGTGAGACAGGATGTGTTTGCCCTCTGGTTTCACATGCCATAAAGATACAACCACTTCAAGATTACAGGTCTACTTTCATTCTGATGTTTCTGTTCAGGTAAGAATTATATGGTGTGGGGGTGGGGAGGATGACAAAGTTGGTAGAGCAGAACCCATACAAAAATACTGGTCATGATGGCACATACTTGTTAACCCAGTGCTAGAGATGGAGGACTAGGGCCAGCTAATCTAGCCTAGTTGGTGAATTCTCGCCAATTAGAGACCCTGTCTGAAAGAAGGTGGAGGGCAGTTTTAACGATGACACCATAGTTGTCCTCTAGCTTCCACATTAAAGCACAATGTACCTACCCACACATCTATACTCGGACACGTTCACATTAAGAAAATTACATTTACAGAAAAATCTTTAATAGAGCTAGCAATTAAGTAGCATGGAAAAATGATAATAAAAATCTAATATACCGTCCTTTACAAATAAATCAAGAAGGCAAACATTTCGATTTTCTAACAACATAGACTTATGCAGTATCTATTAAATGGTCAAACACCGAATTATCTCATAGCATTTAATGTTCTAGCTGTTGCCTACCTGCTGGAATCCAGAGTGGTGAGGCGGGCTTTTCCCCAAAGCTGGTATAACTTTTGTAGGGGATTGTTGCTGAGCTATAGCTTGAACCTGCAACTGGCTTGTAGACTGTGCTGTTGGCTGAGCTGGTAGAGATGTAAGGGGTGGCTGGGAAGGTGGCTGTGACTGTTGAGGTCCCTGGTTCATTGGCCCTGGTCCAGAGGGCCGTTGCTGGCTGTAAGGAATGTGGGACTGTTTCCCAGCTTGCACCTGGTTTCCTGCTGGAGAGTGAGCTGTAGACTGAAGAAAGGTTCCTGGCACAGAAACACCAGCTGGGAAGGTGTAACCTGAGCCCATAGAAAATGCCACAGGAGGGGGGATAACATATGTTGGGGGCGGGAACCCTTCAAAACAGAAGAACACAGATTTAGTTCTAAAGAAACTTAAGAAAGGGGTAAAATTTAAGGGGAGGGTGCTTCTAACACATTATAAAAGCAACAACCAACCATGCACGTCTTTAACATGACATTAAGAAATACAGACTATTGATTACTTTTCCTTTAACATTAATCACACTATCCTAAAGATGCTTCTCATGTGTAATGATAGCAGTTCCTTCAGAGTCTCTGACCAGCACTGACAAGTAAATTATTAAAAAAAAAATGGCTCAACCAGAATCCCATAAGTATTAGGGAAGCTGAATTTCTTTCTTCTTTACATCATAGCTTAGTAACATCATCCTAAGAATACAAAGTATCCAGCAAGCAAACAGAAAACCCCATACTGATGGAATCAGGTAGAAGAATGTGCATTTACCTGGTCGGCTGGGAAGAGGAGGAAAGGCTCCAGGGTGATGAATGGGGATGAACTGAGAATTATTCGTCTGACTTGGAGTTTGAGTGACAGGTGTTTTCCTGGCTTCAGACACTGGAGTCTTTCTTAGTTCTGTCTGGGATTTTACCTACAATCAACAAAAGCAAAGCTAACTACAAAAATCTGGTGCCTATGTATCAGAAAGAAGAACGTACTCAAAAAATATGTAAAACCTCACTATGTCCAAAGTATGTTGAAGAAACTTAAACTCATCTAAGTTAAAATAGGAAAATCAAAATAAATGACTAGTAAAAGAAACAAGGGCTCAGATTTACTAATAGAATTATTTTGCTTTCACATAACCAACGTACAACCATTTGTTGCACATGTGAGAGATCTCATGCCAACAGGTTAAAAGACTTGCCTGTGATCTTCAGCTGTATGGTAAGGGGCCTAGCGCTCTTTGTGCTGCATTGGGATCTCATGAAAACTATTATCTCACAGGTGACATACTATAGCTCCTGGTTTAATTTCAACTAGGTAACACTTCTCAAAGCTCTTTAAACATATGAAGGAAAACATCCAGCAGCAATAAATAAGCCCACAGTTCTAAACATCAAGCCAAAATGGAGACGCCATGTGTAGTGCTCAAGGTTGAGCAAAAAGCAGTAAAACAGATAGTTAAAGAAAAAGAGCATGATAATTATATGTATGCCAAACGTTTGTTTTTGTTGTGTACTACTGAGACAAGGTCTGCTATATAGCCTTGGCCAGCTTAGAACTTGCTATGTAGCCCAGGCTGGCCTTAAATGTGTAGCAATCCTCCTGGCCTATCTTCTAATGGCCAGAATTACATGGAATGTAATGCCATACCTATGGCAGACTTACTTTTGTTATCTACCGGTAGATTTGAGAAGGACAGAGGACAGAAAGAGATTTTATTATCCGCATGGGTCTTAACTGCAAGGCCATTACAGAAGACAAACAGAAGATGCTGGACTTAGTCCTTAAACACAGGTCTGGTTAGGAGTTTTGTTCTGTTGCTTTCTTTGACTTTCCTTTGTACCTTCTCTATTCAGGCCATTTCCTATATATGTATGTGTCTTAGAGGACAGCACAGTCAGAAAAATGTCTGCAAACATGAGAACCACATTTCAATCTCCAAACTCACACAAAAATGCCAGGTGTGGTGTACTTATAATCCCAGTGCTGGGGAGGAGGAGTCAGAAGAAAGGCTCATTGGCTAGTGTTGAACTCTAGGCTAATGAGAGACCTGGTCTCAAAGGAAGGTGATGGCCTTCCTGAGGATGACATCTAAGGTTGTTCTCTCAAATCACATATATACACGTGTGTACCAGCAAAACCATGAACACTTGTGAGAACACAAGTGTGCTCATACAAACATTAAAAAAAGAGAACCACACCTTGTCGTCATGTCCTTGTAGTCCTGTAGTCTACACCTTGTAGTCCTGTCCCACCCCTTCTATCAGACAAGTAAACCGAAGGTATTCTTGCTTATAAGCAGCCTTCTGAAATATGAGGTCCTCAGGCAAACATTTGCAAGTGCCACAGTGAGCTAACAAATTACACAGCTACTTATATAGTCATCAAAACATTAATGGTATTAATAGAACAGTCCAGATTCTTCTGTATTATATGAAATTACCAGTATCTCTTTGGAAAGGTATAAAAAAAGTTACAAATAGATGGTAAGTGTTTGACTTGAGCTCTTCCTTTACCAATTTTTTTGAGTCAGGATACTAATCTACAACAGCACTGGATCAAATATAGTATAAGGTCAAAAAGATGGGCTTCATTTTTCTCCAAAAATGTTAAGTTTTACTGTACAGTGAAGCTTTTTTAAATTTGTTTTTGAGATAGGGTTACTATGCAGCCCTGGTTAACCTGGAACTTCTATGTAGATTAGGCTGGTCTCTACTTCAAAAACTACCTACCTCTGCCTCTTGAGTGTTGGGTTTAAAGGTGTGTATGTATTACTATGCTGAGCCTGCAGTATCTCTCAAGGGAAAAACAAAAACAAAACAAAACAAAACACTAAGAACTATAATATACCTTTGATTCTACTGGATGCTATGGAATCCCAAAACTCTTCTCTAAGATTTGTTTGTGGCAATTATACTGTCTAAAGAAAAACACAATCCTGTGTGAAGCCCTTTAAGCTAAAGAGAATGTCACTGACAAAGGACCTCCCTCAAATTGATAAAGCTAGAGTACCTACCACAGCTCTTCACATACCTTCCTATGTGGTCAAAGAATACACTGAAACTTCAGAATGGGAATGCTCTGATCTTTATGAACAAAACAAGAAACCTTGCCGTTTGTGTGTAAGCCTTCCTCTACCTGCTTTATAGTTCAAGTACAGCTTACCTGCACTGCCACACTCTGCTTTCCTGTTTCCTGCAACTTTCCTAAGGTGCATCTCTTGGTCTCAGCTCTCCTCTTGCTGCTGTCCTTCTTTCCTTCATCCTTAGTTACAGCTACGCCTTTGCTATAGTCCCTTCTCACCTCTTTGGGAGGAAAGCTTCTTTCTTGGTCTCTGTTCACTTCTCGTGGCTTAATGTTCTCTTTGAATGTGACCACTGGTTTCTCTCCTGTGTCACAGCTGTTGCTTGGATTTCGGCCTGTAGACAGCACTGACTTCAGTCCTGGGCTCCCATCAGTAGCTAGTGACTCTATCACAGATGTTTCTTGCAAGATGAGGTTCTCTTTGGCTTCACTGGGGTCTTCTAGTATTAGTTCTGGAATTTCTGTGGTAAATAACAATTTCCCTACCTCATTTTCACACTGAATCAGCCTAAAAAAGCAAGAATAAATCATATATAAAAAACAAACTAAAGAACAGGAACAACTGTATGTAACTTCAACAAGTATTTTTAGGTTTTTTTTTTTTTTTTTAAAGGCAAGAGAATACAGATCCAGCTAATGTAAGCAGTATATTCAGTAACTGAGATCCTCATGACTGTATTTCACATCACCACAATACACTCATTCTCCTGCCCTTCCCTTTCTAATAACTGTGGTTACTCTTACTGAGTATGATTGTCTAAGTCCTTGACACAGCCTATAACGTAGCTATATATACGTATCTTATAGACAGGGATGGTGACACTTAGAAATGGTGAGTTTATATAAACATGCAAGCATTCAAGTGCACCAAGCATGACAGAAATTTGAATACAAACATTAAGAAATAATAACTGACTGAAAAGGAAATAATCCAGCAGGAAGATGCCAGGGACAGAGAACTAGAAAAGAACAGAGCCAGACACAGAACTTGAATTTAACTGACTCCAAAACTGTGTTCTTTCCAGTAGGCCAGCAACTACACCTGGGTAGTCTCTAGCTAGCTACTAGTGTACTGGTCTATCGTGACAGACACTGGCCAGCACATCCTTGACATACGAATCACTCACTAGACCTGAGAATGTCTAATCCTATTCAAGTAATACAGATGCTTATAAACTGAAACAGCTTTATCCTATATTATATGTCTATATGAGTGAGTATATACCGTGTGCATCTTTCTGCTTCTGAGATAGCTCACTCAGGATGATCTTTTCCAGATCCCACCATTTACCTGCAAATTTCATGATTTCCTTGTTTTTTATTGCCGAGTAATATTCCATTCTGTAGATATACCACAATTTGTGCATCCTTTCCTCCACTGAGGAGCATCCAGGCTGTTTCCAGCTTCTGTTACAAATAAGGCTGCTACAAACATGGTTGAGCAAATGTCCTTACTGTGTACTTGAGAATCTTTTGGATATATGCCTAGGAGTGGTATAGCTGGATCTTGAGGAAGCACTATTCCTAGTTGTCTGAGAAAGCGCCAGATTGCTTTCCAGAGTGGTTGCACACGGTATATACTCACTCATATAGACATATAAGATAAACCTACTGAAATCTGTACACCTAAAGAAACTAATCAAGAGGAAGGACTCTTGCTAAAATGCTCAATTCCTATCCAGAAAGGCAAAGAGGATGGACATCAGAACAAGGAGAAAAGAGGGAACAAGTCAGGAGCCTGCCACAGAGGACCTCTGAAAAGCTCTGCCCTGCAGACTATCAATGTAGATGCTGAGACTTATGGGCAACCTTTGGGCAGAGTGCAGGGAATCTTAGGAAAGAAGTGGGAAACAGTAAGATCTGGAGAGGACAGGACCTCCACAAGGAGAGCAACAGAACCAAAAAATCTGAGCACTGGGGTCTTTCCTGAGACTGATATTCCAACCAAGGACTATGCATGGAGATAACCTAAGACCTCTGCACAGATGTAGCCCATGGCAGTTCAGTATCCAAGTGGGATCCATTGTAATAGGAACAGGGACTGTCTCTGACATGAACTGATTGGCCTGCTCTTTAATTACCTCCCCCTGAAGGGGAAGCAGCATTACCAGGCCACAGAAGAAGACAACGCAGCCACTCCTGATGAGACCTAACTGACTAGGGTCAGAAGGAAGGAAAAGAAGTCCTCCCCTATCAGTGACCTTGGGAAGGGGCATGCATGCAGAGGGTGGAGGAAGGGAGGGATTGGGCCGGGAGGAGGGAGAGAAATACAGGGGGGATACAAAGTGAATAAAGTGTAATTAATAAAGAAAAAAAAATTTAAAAAACTGGAGCAGCTCGTGATAATAAAGACAAGATTAATTCTTATTATAGATAACAGGCAGTGTTAACAAGGAGAAAATATACTTATGATCACTTGGGTCATAATGAGATATGTTACAAATATTGACTTAGTTCATCACAGTGTTTATACCGAAGTCTAAGATATACATGAGGTACATGTGTGTGATGACAGACCAAAAAGGAATGCAGGTGGTGTCCAGGGGCATACCGTGGCTGATTGTCAGCAATCCATTTCCCTATAGAGATCAAACGCTGCTGTCTTATTCGTCGCTGTTGACCCTCTTTGTCTCTTGTAATACCCTGATGGCCTTTGGAAAAATCCAAGTTCCTAAAAATGACATAGCACATTATAGAAGATTAAATACTGAAAGTTTTCCAGGCAACCAAATGCAAAAACTTCAGAATGTTTCCCTTAACAGGCTATAGACCACATGCAACCAACTGTGCTTACTTGAATTTATAATTCTGAAGATTCCAAATATAAGAAATAAAGCGTGAAACAAACATCAAAGTTCATTATATTAATGTCTTATTTTTACTTTCTAAGTAATATGCTCTCACTGTATGAATTGCCAAAGACCCATTTTCTAAGTAATTTGACTAAATAAAAAATAATCATTATGGTCTGGGTGGTGGCGGCTCATGCTTTTAATCCCAGCACTTGGGAAGGCAGAGGCAGGTGGATTGCTTTGAGGCAAGTCTGGTCTACCAAGTTAGTTATAGGACAGCCAAGGCTAAACAAACCCTGACTCAAAACAAACAAACAAACAAACAAACAAACAAACAAACAACTCAAAACAAAAATCCAAAAACAAAACAAACAAATCATTATAATGCTAAGGGTCTCTGATAAGCTTTTTGAGTTTCTTATTTTTTATGTTCATGAAGCATTTTGCCTGCATGTACATATATGCACCACATGTATGCCTGGTACCCACAAGGCCAGAAGAAGGCAATGAATTTCCCTGGGACTGGAGTTTCAGGTTGTTTTGAGTTGCCTTGAGGGTACTGGGAACCACACCCATGTCCTTTGAAAGAGTAAAGAACCATCCATCTCTCTAGCTTTTGAGATGCCTTACAACAGTATTAAAGTACTTTAAGATGTCCTTTTCTAAATCAGAAAAATGTGCAAATGTCATAGACTATGTAGACAGAAGCGTAAACCAGGGTGGAAAAGAGTTCCTGAGTTCTTTCATCATACAATTCTAAAAGAAAAAAAAGATTACTTAAGGCAGGGGTGGTAGTGTATGGCTACAATTTTGGCATTTGGGAGGTGGAGGCATGACAGCAGGTTGTAGGGTTACATAGTGAAACCATGTAGTCCAAACCCAAAAAGCCATTAAAATAAGTTAGGCTGAAGAACATACAAAGATAAACAAGAAACAGTCCCTTTTTCTGGGAAAAAGTAATGAAAATTAAACTTGATCAGCCATATAATAAAACCTCATAAAGAATGAAAACGCAAAAGAACTGAATTCCTTCCAAAAACCCTGGAAAGGTTTCAGAGTGACACCTGAGCTAGATTAACAAATAAGGACAACTGCTGATCAAGACAGTAAAGAAAAGGCAGATTAGCAGATGAGAATGCTCTAAGCAGCTCGAAGATGGGATGTTCTAGCATAGTCAACAGTGTGTAGAGGAAACCAGCTCATTCAAAAGGACAAGGTGAGTGTGACTAACTGAGAGTGGGACAGTATAAGAAAGGCCCAAGAGCTCAACAGTGTGAGGACTTGGACATTAAGCTAAAGGAGAGCCCAGAGTGACTGAGAACAGGAAAACCTAAGTTTCTGTCTTTATCATGTCAGTACTCACTTGAAACTGATGGATATAGAGGCGTTTTGGTTATTGAATTGTAATCCTTGATGAGAAAAATAAATAACAAAAAATAACAACAAATGAGAGCTTTTCTATTTTCTAGGTTGGTGAATAAAGTATGCCAACAGATCTTATGCTACAAGAATTTAAAAAGGCAAAATTAATGTTTAAAAACTGCTTAAAAATGAATGAACCATGAATGACAAACTGTTGCAAAGATGTTAAATAGAGTATTTGTGCCTAAATTGTATTGGTCTTTGCTTTAACTTCTGAGAAGTTAAATAAAGTTTAAGATGATATTTTCAGGATTCTTCCTTCACAGACTATTTCTGTAGCAAAATAAAGCAGTTAACTAAATAAATAAAAACAAAATCCATCAGAATCTGGTAACTAAGATATATACATGTTAAGTTGTAGCAGGTTGAGACAGAACTAAAAACTGAAGTTAGTAAGGGCCACCCAAACTGCTCTTAAGACACCCATGAAAGGAGCAACAGGGAAAGATAGAGACTGAACTATATTTTATAGAATTAAAAAACAAAAACAAACCTGAATGTTAGTAGGCTAAAGAAAACAGCTACTTGGGGAGAGATGGGAAAACCGGTGGGGGTATACTGGAAAAACAATGTGAAGCACAGTAAGAAGGAAAGAACAAGATAGAGGGGTAGGACAAGAAGACAAGAAACCAAGGGTGGCTAGTGAAGGGGATCCCTTCTTGTAAAATTGGTGTGTGATGTAGAAGGAAATATGTGCATACACACACGGAGAAGAACTATGGCTCTCTCATTGAACTGGAGCCTTGGCATTCTTATTTATTTTTTCTAGCTGCAGATTGGTGTCACAACTACAACCAGCGTGGCTTTTATAAGGATGCTGGGATCCACACTCATGCTTATACAACTTACCACTGAGCCATACTCACTGCCCTGTCACTACTATTAATATGCAAAAACTGTATGGTAATAACTTTTAGCTAAAATTTAGTATTTGCTGAGTATATACAGTGCATGCCTATAATCTTGGCATTCTGGAGGCAGAGGGTTGCTGCATGTTTGACACCACAACAGTCTACGCAACAAGCTTCAGTCTAGCAATGACTATGAAGACTCTGTCTCAAAAAAAAAAAAAAAAAAAAAGATACAGTACGGTGACTAAAACCTTTAATTCCAGCACTCAGGAAGCAGAGGCAGGTGGAACTCTTGTGAGTCTGATGCCAGCCTGGTCTACAAAGTTAGTTCTAGGCCAGCCAGGGCTACATAGTGAGACTCTGTCTCAAAACATAAGACTGAATATGAATGAATTAGTAACAGAAAGACATCCTTAAGTTTAAGGTAAGTAAAAAAGTAGCATTTGTCAAGTACCACTTAGAAGAACAATTTTCTTTTCCAGTCGACAGCTGGGACAAATCAAAGGTTCCTCTACAAGTAGTCCAGATTCCTATACATCTGAACACTGCAAAGAGTTCATAGCTACTTACCTGAAAGAAGGTCTTAAAGCCAAGAATCCTTGTAATTCAAACTCCTCTGGAAGTGGTGTGGCTAAAGAAAGAAAGACACCAAAATCTGTAATCATTTTAATTAAAATCTTATTAGAGCAAAAAAGAGTAATACTTAAGATATGAAAAAAGTGAATGAAAAAGATATGGGAAGAATCTGTAATGTCCGTTCTTTGCTTTCCTGTGTCATCATCATGTAAAGATAAGTCACCACAAAACCCTGCATCATCACTGGTCTTTATATATCCCTAACATTCCATACTGAACACTCAAGGTGCTGAACACAAGCAATTTCCTCATCAGCTGTCTCCAGAATTTACAGCTTCAGTTGGGTCTGGTGGTACACAGCTTTAACCCCAGCACTCAGGAGGCAAAGGCAGGTGGATCTCTCAGTTCGCAGTTAGCCTGGTCTCAGAGGGAGTTCTAGGATAGCCAGGGTTACAGAGAAAAACCTGTTATGAAAAACCAGACAACCCAACCAAAACTAGAATTCAGAGCTTCAGATCAGATCTAGTAACCCCAACACTTAGGATACATATGACTTTTTAAAAAAATATATATTTTATTTATTTATTATGTATACAATGTTCTATCTGCATTTACACTTGCACGCCAGAAGACGACACTGGATCTTATTATAGATGGTTGTGAGCCACCATGTGGTTGCTGGGAATTGAACTCAGGACCTCTGGAAGAGCAGCCAGTGCTCTTAACCTCTGAGCCATCTCTCCAGCCCCTATATATGACTTTTAAGTTACCCAGTGACAACACTGTTGTTATAATGTTCTTGTGGAATGTTACCCTTGTTCATTCAAATGCTGGTTTCTCTACCCCACTATTTGGTTTCAATCACTGCATTGTGATGGAAGCATCACCTGTCTCAAGTTTGTGTAAACATGCCACCATTTATTCTCTGTGTTGTCAATAAAAACCAGCCAATGCCAAGCAATGGAGAGAAGAGAGTGGGACATCCTGGTCTGAAGGGGAGGAAAAAGAGGAGATGGGAGGAGAGATCGAGGACAGGACCAGAAAACATCAGGAGAAATGAACCAGACCTAAGATATGACTAAAAAGCAAGTATAATGTGGGAAATCTGAATGGGAGGAAACTATGAGGGCTTAGAGGTTTAATATGGAATAATTATTCCCAGCACTGTGCTCTAGGTTTATTAAACAAATCCTACTCTTTGTGTAGTGATTTGGGTATACAACTGGTTTAGGAATAACCGCAGTTTAACTAAAAGAGAAATCAATATTAAATATTAATAATCATCAACACAACACTAATATCATTATGAGCTTACAAGAAAGTGTTGGCATTATCCCAAACCTTCCAAATCTTAAGATCCATGTGACTCATTGCAAATTGCACACTGCAAGTTGAATGTGTATGTTTGTGTGCAAGGACAACCTCAGGTATCTTCTCTTGGGAATGCTGTCCACCTTCTCTGAGAAAAGGAGCTCAGCCAATTAGCTAGATTGGCTTGCAAGAGAGCTCTTGAAATCCTCTTGTTCCTAGCTTGCCAGAACTGGGGTTCCAGGTAAGAATGAAATATTTACATAGGTTCTAGGTATTGAATTCAGGTCCTCATGCTTGAGAGACAAAACATTTTACTCACTGAGTTATCTTCCTAGGCCTTGATGAAGAACATTCCAAAGACAGGCTAGTAAATAGACTATGATACATATATGAAGTAAAGTATTACGAAGCCAGTAAAAACTGGTTTGCAGCAAATGAAAATGTTATACCGTTAAATTTAAAAGCATGTTTAAAGTTGTATATGACTCGTATGTTTGCACTTAGAAAAAAGCCCTAAGATCATGCACTACCATGTAAACAAGATAAACTATTATCCTATGGGAGATCTATTTACAATTTATGTCTTTTATGCTTTATGTGCTAAATCCTGTGTGATGTGTATCTATCCAGCAGACTGGTGTTCACATCGTTTCCTTAAAACAAAATCACTAGTGGGGCTGGGGAGACAGCTCAGTGGTTAAGAGCACTTCCTGTTCTCACAGAGGACCCAAGTTTGGTTTCTAGAACCCACATGGTGGTTCCCAACTGCCTGTAGCCCTAGGAATTCCAACGAATTCAAGGCCCTCTTCTGTCCACTGTGGACACCCGGCAAATACATGGTACAAATATGTACACGAGGGAAAATACTCATACACATAAAAAAAATAAATAAATCTAAAAGCAAACAAAAATCCCAAACTAGTAACAATGAAGAGCCGAGGAAGAAAATGGATAGAAGTTAAAGGTCATGAAAGTCTCCTCTAATGTGTACAAGGGAAGCTGCTGAGGGAGTTCAGGAGAGATACCCACATCTGGCGCCTTCATTAGTACTGGAAGTCAGAGACTCCCTGAATTTAAAGTGAAACAAGCCTCACCAGAAGCCTTCAACCCACCACTAGTTGTGGAGAAACAGAGCAGCAGTTCCATCAGTAGGTCTTACCATTAGTACTTGAGAGATCATCTTCATGAGGATGGAAACTATTTAGAAGAGAAATTAGCCAGGGCCAAATGCTGTAAATTAATGAAATGTTCAGATTTTATTTTTATACAAAAGAAAGCAGAATAATAATAAATTACAAAAATGGCATCTATAAGGACCCCATCTTTCACTTATTGTCCCACTACTCACCTCAGACATTTTACAGGCTACATAATACCCTCATAAAAAAGCTACACAGGCAAAAACACATCAAAAGGATCGTTGTATGTGAGTGATACACGACTGCATATTACTTCCCAGTGTTTGTTTAATGAGTGGAAAGTAATGTGTTACACACTGAACACATACAATTCCTGAGCAGTACTGCTAGTTCTTCAGCTAGCGACAGAATGGTTACACCAAATTCAAACCTCTGTTCAAAGTGATTAACAAGTGCCTTTTTAAGGGTACAAGTAGATGCAGCTATAACATCCTTATCTCTAAATTTGTAATCAAAAGGATCACTGCACAAACAAAAATGGCAGGCAAGGCTTGCCCTAAAATATAAAAACTCTGTAAGCCAACAGAATACACAAAGTTCACCTTTTAGAGTTCCTGACATAATTTATTAAACAAAACAGGTTTGAGTTTTAAGAGTACACATAAGCAAAAAATTTACACACAAAAAAGCAGCATCTAAAAACCTGTACCAGCACACCTACAATAATATTAAAAGGAGACAGACACTATGCTATTCTATTTTCCTAAATCCCATTCATGACAGTATTAAAAACAAAGGCACTTATTAGGGAGGAGGAGAAGAAAGGATTCTGAACTATAGAGATCACAGGGTCTTAATGAAGTCCCATAATTTATTAGACAGTCCCTAGTCAGTGTGTACATGCCAGGGCACAGCACAAACTTCAGAGACTTAAACAACTACTAAAATATGCAGGGCAGGAACTTTGCCACTACAAAATCTTTTTGAAATGTTATTTCTACAAGTAAAAGTACACCGAAAATGTAATTCATCACTAAAATCAAAGACTCTTAAAAACTGTCTCAACTGTCTTGAGTAAAGTAAAAATTATTTTGTTATATATGGTTAAATATAATACAAATTAAGTATAATTACAAGGCAGAATCAGTTTGGATATGAAGTTTATTGTTTAAATAAAAGCAGGAAAGTGTGGCAAATGTATGGCTAAAAAAACAAACTTCATTTTTAATATCAAGTTCATTTTGAAATGTGAAAAATGCATCTTTATGATATGGAAACTGGAAACAGGAATATAGGAGTCACAAATTTCTATCTAAGATTGTGTGCCTAACATGAAGAATTAAAAATAATGAAAGCATGCATAGAGGTTTTCACTTCAATTTCCATAGAATAGGCAGAAAATGCAGTCTTCATCTGTTTTATATTATTTTAGAAGGCAGTTTCCTGATGGTACGTGTATCACAAAAAGCACCCAACTACCTTAAAAGTTCTAACACTTACTACTGTCTTTCATCCACCACTGCTTCTTGAAAGACTCTAGGTCGGAGTCTTAGCCAGTCCATGGAGACCTTGACTGCAGGAAGGGGATAGGCATTGTAGGACTCCTGAGAATCATTCTGGAGAGGACATTTGCACAGGATGCCAAGAAAAGACACTGGGGTGTGGGGTGAAAAAAAAGATTCAGAATGTGTAAGGCATTTGAAATAGCACACCAGTTTAAAATATTACCATGAGCCTTCTACTGTATTAAGCATTCATGTATTATAAGTTTCTTTCTAAATAGTTACTTTCATCTGGGCATACTAGCTCATGGCTCTAATCCTAGTACCTGAGAGGCTGAAACAGAAGACCATGATATTAAAGGTCAGCCTGGGAATAATACATAGTAAAACCATCAAAAAAAAAAAAAAAAAAAAAAACCACTCTTTTTGTGTTAAAAAGTTAAATAAAGCAGATGAGTGGTGTAAGCAGGCAAAAAGAACAGAATTTGATGTTTAAGTCTCCTGATCCAATATTAAGAAATATCGGACTCACTGGGCATGGTATTCCGGGACTTAGGAGGTTGAGGCTATACAGAGAAGAGAAACCTTGCCTCGAAAAAACAAAACCAAAAGCTAAACAACAACAACAACAAAACCCCAAGTTCCCCCTAGCCCCACAAAAGAACGAAATATAGGACTCATTTTACATATCATTGCATTTGGTTACATTAAAAATTCCTAATAAAACAATAAAAAAATTCCTAATAACGTAGATTGCACCTTTCAAAGTTAAATGATTTAATACTCACTGAAGAGTGCCAGTAACTGTGTCCAACATAGCTGTTCATCTTGGCTGTAACTATGCTGCTCCGTTTCACTGCTAAAGTCACGAAGATGGTGAAGTTGAAACAGGTTAATGACAGTGACATGAACTAACTGCTGAGAGCTGAAAGCTTTTTGGAACAGTAGCCTCTGTAATGGGAGACAAAAATACTGCATATATTATCAACAGCAGAATCCAGTTAGAAACAAGAATTACTTACTATGTTTAGAATTATTATGTTTAGAATAACAGTATTGTAATAGCATTATGGATGAGTAAATTTTCCTACTCTTAATTCTAGTATTTTATATGAAAGAAAAATCTTTTAAAACTACAAAGAAAACTCTTTAAAAGGATCAATTCAGGCACTACTCAGTTGTTTAAACTGTTTCTTAAACATTTTACTCTAAGAAACTGTCCATATAGTAAGATTTATCTACAGTTTTTTTTAAATGAATATGAGTGTTTTTTCTGCATATGTATGGATGCCATATGCATGTCTGGTACCTAAAGAGGCCAAAAGATGATGTTTGATTCCCTGGAACTGGAGTCAAGGATAAGTGCAGGAAGAGCAGCCAGCACTAGTAACTGCTGAGCAATCTCTCCAGCCCCAGAACCAATATTTATATTTTTAGTATGACCTGAGAAGAAAGTATTTGGGGCTAAATATATATTTAGACATTTTAATCCATTTGAGGTTGTCTTATAAAAGACATGTATACTGAATAAAATGTTTAAAAAAGACAAAAACCGTGCACAGTGGTGAACGCCTATAATCCTAGCACTCTTGAGAGGCAGAGGCAGGCAGATCTCTGTGAGTTTGAGGCCAGCCTGGTCTACAAAGGGAATCCAGGACAGCCAAGGCTACACAGAGAAACCCCATCTCAAAACAAACAAACAAACAAGTGATTGAAAGCAGATTATGTAGCAAAGAAATTCCAAATGAAAAGGTTCACGTATTCTTTTAAACCCTTGATACATGAAGCTTGACAGTATTTGTCCTAAACTTTTCACCTTCAAAAACAAAAGGCAACTTTATATATAAATAAGGCAGAAAACACATACTTAGGAACGGAGGACAAATGATATGCTGGAGTAGCCATTAGGATGTCTGAATAAGCACCTTTACAATGATCATGCTGAAATTTTCATAGAAAAACCCACATATGATTTTTACCAGTTTCACTTATGCAGCAACTGTGTTGACAGTAATCTAAGCAGTGCATGACACCACCAAGCAGATTCTCAGAGCTGGTGTTCTCAATGTGGTTACACATCCTGCTTTAACATCTATGATGGGATGTTACTCCCATATGGAATAATTTCCAAACCTAAGTTCACAACAAAGTTAACAGCTACTGGGATGGATATTTTTAGTTGTAGCCAGCCTTCCTCCGTTGCTTCCAGGAAACAATTTAGCTGACAGCAAATTAAGTATCAGTAGTCTCCTGGTAAGAATTGATAATACACTAGATGTGGTCAGGTTTGCCGTGACTGTAATGATTGTGGCAATTTTGAGGTCAGAAAGGGCTACAGAGTGAGACCTATCCAAACAACCTCAGAACAAAACAAGAAAATCCAAACCAAAAAAAAAAAAAAACCACACAAAAACCAAAACTGGAACTAAAGATCCAGAAGGACAGTTCTTGCAGTTCCAAACCAGTAACTGGCGCTCCTGACCCTGCCACCTCAGACATGTCAATCACACTCACTGTGTTCTGAGATTTCTATTTTTTGCTTTTATATAAAGAATCTGAAATAGCCAGTCTTCTTTGCTTTTATAATCACATTATTATTGGAGAAAAACTTCTGATCTGTATTTGATAACCCAACCTCCATGTGATCTGCCATTCCACTATATATAAAAAGTTAGCTCTTTTTCCAAACATTTCTTTACTTAAAATTCCCTAATATCTGACAGAATTTTCTAATAAAATGTCTCCTTCAATGTATACATTTAGCCTTCTAGATAAGCTATTTATGCTGATTATACTTTTAATCCAACAACTCTATTCAGATTCCATATTCTAGGCCCTCAAGTGATGGTGCAGCTTTCACACTTAACCCTATATAAATACCATGGCCTACATTTAAACATGCCACTGGAGGAAAGAGATAGAATAAGACCAGAAAAGACTATTTTGCAACAAACTATTTCTATTGTAAATATGATCTAATCTTATAAATGATCAATTTGACACTGATTATATTTGGCTACTTTATGCTTTTACTAGCCAAGTTTGTGTGGTTGTTTTGGACAGTCTATCACTATGTAGCTCTTGCTGGCTTGGAACTCCAAACTCACAGAGATCTACCTATCTCTGCCTCCCAAAGCATATACCACCCAGCCTACTGAAGTATTTAAACCTCTTGAGATACACCATTTCACAACATTTAATTGTAACAACTTTAAGTGAACAAAGGAGCAATTAAGAAATACAACAATATTCACAGTATCTAGCTTATTGCTGACTCTGGTGCCTTAAACACTGATACTGAATAGTCAAATACTTCAATAATATATTTAAGACTCTTAAATACATTTAAAGTAAGGTGATATGTATTTTAACTTTTTCCATTATACATTTAAACTGTCTTGTTTCTTAATAATATTTTTCCACTTTGACTTCTTTTGCCAACTGGCAGGATGCCAATGAGAAGGTTGATGCAACATGTCTGGATACCATAGCTCAGATAACAAGAGGGTAGCTGGATGTGAAGATTTCATATATTCCGATTTAACTTTTATTATGAGTTCAAAATTAAGTAGCAACACAGGAAGGAAGTAGGAGTCTAGTTCTTGGGTACAGCTCAGTGGGAAAGCATTTGCCTCGCTTTGCAAGGTTCTGGGTTCCAACCCCAACACCACAAAAAGACAAAACTGTGAGTTAATTTTCTTCAAATCTTAAGCTTTCTGACTTAGAGAAGACAAGCATTTTTCTGTTTTGTTTTTAACTCAAACCTTAAAATGTTCTTCCAACTTCTCTCGAAGAGGACTCAACTTTTCCAAACTCTTACTCAGGTATACATGACCATGAAATTTAATAAAGGCCTTGATGAAGTCAGAAACACCCCACTTGGTTTTCAACTCATCCCGGCTAGAAAAAAAAGAGAGAGAGAAAGAAAAACTTGAATGAATCTTAATCAGCAAAATTAGCAAGCCTCCTAAAACTGGATTTGGCTTGCAAGTAACTTGAGCATCCAACAGAGAGAAGAGGGTTCTGTCTAGGTCTAGCTTCACAGCTACAACTTAGCTAAGTCAGCATTCAGCTGCAATAAATCACATACTGGGTAAAAGCACAAAAAATTATGATGTTATCTATAGTTTCATAGGTAAAAGATGAATGGATCATTTTGGTGTTTCCTAGACCAAAATTTGAGAGATTTCGGTTCCAGGTTACACAAAATATTCTTGGAAAAAAGGCAGTCCTACCTACCTTTCCAGTGCTTTAGAAAGTGCTTTTTGTAGATTAGTGGAGGCAGCTGGGAAAGGGAACTTCACAGCGATGCTTCTGCAGTAGTAGAAAATTGTGGTCAGGTGGTCTCCTTTGGAAGAAGCTAAGATAGCCAACTGATTGTAAGGCTGACCTAAAGGAAAAAGTTAAGATTATAAAGTCACCAAGAACTAATCTTGATATCAAAATACAAATGCTCAGTTAAATCCTTGAATTAACAATGCAAAATATTGCATAAGGCAAGTCTCATGACGATACATTATTAGTGATGACAATCTTATCGTTTGCAGTGTAAAAAGCCACACACTTAAATATTGAGTATGGTAGCACACACTTGTAACTCTAGCAGCTATTTAGGAGGCTCAGACAGGAGGATTAACGTTCAAGGCCATATTGGGCTACATAGCTAGATGGTCTCAAAACAAACAAACAAACAAACCGAAAATCATAAACTTAGGATCAATACAGTAAGCACTCATGGTTTCACAAAGGGTTAGCTAGTAAATCTCCTTGGCTCTGTTAGGTGCTGAGGGCTCATTACAAGCACTCAGCTCTGCTACTGAGGTATGAGGGCTGCACGCAATATGAAATGGACAGTGTACAGATTATCACTCTACTTGAGACAGTTTCTAGAATCTAAAGACATTTCAACATGGCTTAGCAGAGTGATTTGTAACAGTAAGTGTATGTTATTAAGCTCTTTAATTCAAGAATACCCATCTTGGGGCCATCAAAAGTACTATCTTTTAGGTGACTGGTAAGTTTTCTAAGGAGAAACGGTTCTCTTAAAAGATCATTATTCTTTGGACCAATTAAGTATGCTAGAGTTGTAGAAACTCTATTAGATCACACTAATTAATTCCATTTATGTTGGCTTACTAACAAAGTAACTTTCTTAAAAAAAAAACCTTATTTTAAGTATATGGAATATAAAGTTAAAAGGAAAACATGAAACTCAATCTTGCTGAAATTCAACATCTACTGCTTTAACACACTTACAAAGTAGAACCTATTTTCTAAAGTGCTATAAAGAATGAAGGGACATGGTTAACCTTAAGGTGACAGGCCCACTCACCATTGGAGGGGACAAGCTGAGCTGCATGCCTATAGTAGGATTCTGCCTGGCTGGTCTGGTTTCTATATCGAGCTGAGAAAAAAAAAAAATAAATAAAAAATGAAAACTCAGTTTCAAACCATATAAATATGCACAAACATACACAAAACCATCAGGAGGGCATGTTCAAAACAGCTACTTATAAATTCTAAAGATAATAAAGACATTAAATTTACTTTAAAGACCATTAAAGACAGAAAAATTTAAAACAAATTAACTATAGGATTATGTGTGAAGTGTCCATCCGGCCTTCTCTATTTGGGACATTCAGCATGTAACCAATTTTAAAGCTTACCTAGCCCCCATTTTCAGGTCCTCCAGTGTCATGCATCACCAGCTCCCACTATGGACTATGCTGGTGACCTGGAGCCGGCCCACAAGAAGGGGTGAGTTATATGGCACTTAAAAACAAAACAAAACAAAAAACACTATACAATATGATCTGAAAATTAAGTATTTCTTCAATATTTTATAAAGTGATTTTGAAAAATGTCTCGTATCTTATTCGTATCTTATTATGTATGTGCAAAGAAGACATTTTAAGCAAAACCAACCTAAACACAATGTAACTGCATCTCCTTCTGAGCTCACTGATACTCTGATGTGACCTCTCAAAGTGTCACTCATTTATGGCATTAAGAAATCTAAAATCTACTAATTTAAACATACTAATGTTTCGTATTCCTTGTTATTTCAGGACAAAACATAATCCTATAGTTAATTTGTTTTATAACCTTTTTAGGTCACCTTAAAGGAATGAACAGAAAAATAAGTTATATAATAACCCCAGGTAAAAATGTGTATAATGGAAATGCAAATTTAACCTTTGAAAGGAAGCAGCACATAAAATGAGCTTTCAGTGCACCAGTAGGAAGAAATAATAGACAATCTAGTTCTAAAGAGGTAATTTATAAATATTATCTGTTCCAAAATAGTACACATTTCTAATTTAGAAAATACAGGATCACTTTGATAATTCACCATTGACTACATTTTTAGTGTTTACTATTTGCCTAGATCTGGATCAAATCTGAGGAGAATGTAAACTTTAATGAGAATTTTTTTCAAAATTCTTCTGCCAAATCTCAAAATGTAAAGAATTGTAAGTTCCTAGAAGTGAATTTTATAATTTCTTCATATGTCATTTTAAACCAAACATGCATACTTGAAGTTTCTTCCTATGACAACTCCAAAGAAAAGAATGAATGTGTCATTAGTTCCTTTCCAAAGGCTCACCAATGTCTCCAAGGTGGACGAGGCAGTGCTGGCAAATGTAGGAACAGGAGCTAGTCTGTGGCTTCACTATGGCGCTGGTGTGCGTCTGTTTATTGCTAATAATTCCCAACTGGGAAGACTTCACACGGCACGGCAAATCTACATTAAACACCGTACACAGTTCCTGTAATAACTGAAGAAACATAAGCAAAATTCAGTATGTATAACAGTAAAGTTTACACAAGAGATTATGTATCTAAGTACCACATAGTACTGAGACTCCAGTAAGAACTGTATGGAGATTAAATGCAATCTTTGATAGGGTGATTCTCATTATCAAAGCATTTTTAAACACAGCATTTTGAAAAGACATTCAGCAAGGACATAAAATAAACTCCATGAAATTATCTACTTCTCTTAAAAAAAACATTAAATATTGGTTGGTTAAAAATGTTTCTAAAATGCAAGACAGGTCTTGACATTTACTTTCTTAAATTCTAAAATGATCCATTCTTTATTCTGAAGGTATGAGGGGACTCTGCTCTGGTCAGAGTTACCTCCTAAGCTTGTGTATGTCTGTTATTCCATTCTGTTCTGGTTCCTGTCTGTTACACCCTAGCCCAATTTTTTCACTTTAAACCATTCATGTGTTTTTCCTTTGGTCTAACCATATTAAGGTTTCCTATAGAAAAAAAAAACAAACAAACAAGAACAGAACACAAAACCAAAACACTCTTTATTGACCCGAGAGTCCTTCCAACAATCTTATGTCTTTCTCTTCTCAACTAGAGAGGGAGCCCACCTTTTCCTCATCTGTTTTGTCAAAACCTACTCACTCTTTTCCCCCATTACCATCTGACTTCTTTCAAGTCTCTCCTACCCCTATCCACCACTGGTTTACTAAAGCATCTATCAGACACTTTGCTATATAGTAGCTGGCCAAACACAACGATCACCTCCACCTCTAACACGTTATTGGATCTCCTGCTCCATTTAAATGTGTAGATCGTAGCACTAGCTAGCTCTTAAGCTTTTTTTCCCAACCATTCTTTTCACTTTCCTTAATTCTAAGCCTCCCTCACCTGTCTTGCCAAGCATTTGAATCTTGTCTCCTTCCTTTTTGTTCACAATCTTTACATACAACCACATTCACACAAATGTCTGCCTTCTATCAGGTACATGGTAAACAACAGTCACTCAGTACTACAGTACTACAGTACTAGACAGTTCCTGGGATCCTGATCCCCAAGAAAAAACTGTACCGCCTCCTTTTTCCTCAGTTCCTCACTCTGCCAAGAATGAAGAATTGACTATGAAGCAGATTATCACTTTTACATAACATAGAAATTTGATAGTGCTTTCTTCTCCCATTTTCTTGGAGTAAGGACTATTACTGTTCTGGCTAGCTTTATGTGAACTTGATGCAAGCTATATAGTCATTTGGGAAGAAAATGCACCACAAGCCTGATTGGTGCAGAAGGGCCCGGCCCACTTCAGGTGGTGCCACTCCTGGGCAATGGTCCTGGGAGTGTTTAAGAAAGCAGGTTGAGCAAGCCTTGAGGAGTAAGCCAGTAAGCAGCACTCCTCCATGGCCTCTGTATCAGCTGCCTTGGGTTCCAGCCTTGAGTTTCTGCCTTGACTTCCCTAGATAATGAACTTCAAATTGCAAGTTAAAATAAACCTCTTCAAGTTGCTTTTGTTCATGGTGTTTTATCATAGAAACAGAAACTTAACTAAGACAATTACTATTTTCTTCTATGGGAAATAACAAACAAAAAGCATCTTACATGAAATGTTACATGCTTTCATTTTTACTAAGATTTTGGGAGTGATCAAAGCACTAGGTTTTAGGTAACAAAGTCAAAACCATTTACCAAGAAAAAATGACTATGGCAATCAAATATTAAGCTGTTAAAACATACAACAATCAAGATCTCTACCACTCTAATCAAATTACACTTCATCAAACCCAAACTACTGTACCTTAAGAGAGGAACCATCATTTTATATAACATTGAGAAAAAAATCCTGCCAATGGTAATTTAACAATCCTGATTAAATGCTGGTAATCCAAAAATTCTATAGCAAGCTCATCTCCATTATAGAAACATTAAAATACAGTTTTATTTGTCTGTTTTACTGTTTTGTTTTAAGACACAGTCCCTTCACAGAGCCATGTCTATCCTGGATGTCACTAAGGATGGCCTTGAATGTACAGAGATTCACCGGCTTACGCCGGTTTTTGAGTGCTGAGAGTAAAGATATGCACAACCTAAAATATGTTCTAAATTTTTAAAAAGGAAGGAACATGGTACATATTAAGTTTGCCAAGGACTTCTATGAATGCTAAATCTAGTTTTTCACTTTTTAAAAACTTTATCTGGCTGGGCAGTGGTTGACACAGGCCTGTAATCCCAACACTCAGGGAGGTAGAGGCAGGTGGATCTCTTGTGAGTTCAAAGCCAGCCTGGTCTACAAAGTGAGTCCAGGACAGCCAGGGCTACCCAGAGAAACCCTGTCTTGAAAAACAACCAACTAGTAACAACAAACCTCATTTGACTTAACAGCACTAAACAGGGTATATCATTTACTGGTTTTTGTTTTGTTTTGGTCTTCCAACTTGGCCATTTCCCTTCCTTTTTCCAATTGTAATAATAGTGATTGCACTTGTATTAAGTCTGTTCCCATCTAACTAAAGTGAACTGCTAATATAAAATTCCATAAATTTAATCTAATCCATCAGAGTCCTACTGGCTCCACTTCAGAATGTCAATTCTTTCCTTTACTCTAACAGCACCTTATCTAGTTTCTTTCCCTAACTCCAATATCTAGAGTAACTCTCTAGTTTTGTTTGTTTGTTTGTTGGGGGGTGGGAGGTATACTAAGACAGGATATTGCTGTGCAACTGCGGCTATCCTAGAACTCTGCAGTCTAGGTTGGACTTCAACTTGAACCTGCAGTGGTTCAACTTGAACCTACACAGGCTTGAACCACCACACCTGGTTCACCACTTCTTTACATAGTTTCAGTATCTGATACTGTACCTTAGAAACAAGCACTTTGAAGGTGGTTAGGCTATAGTTCAGGGGCACAGCACTTACTCAGCAAATGTAGAAGTCTTAGTATGCAATAAAACTGAAACTAAAACTGCAAAGCAAAAAAGGATCAGGCTTTTTGACAGTTATCTGTAAGAACAAGCCTTTACTATCTGCTTTCCTTCCATGTTACCCTTTAAGTATTATTTTATATGTTTATGGATGCTTTTACCTGAATGTATGTACCATCAGATTCCCTGAACAGGAGATACAGACAAGTTGTGAGCTGCCTTGCGGATTCTAGGAATGAAGTCAGGAATCTCTGGAAGATCTGCCCAGTGTTCTTAACCACTGAGCCATCTCTGCTCCTGCTTTAAATTTTAACTTTATTTGTGTGTGTGTACATAAATGCCATTATACACTTGTGTAGGTCAGAGGGCATGTGCTCAGAGTCAATTCTCTTCTTCCACTACAACATTCAGATGGCTAGACATCCTTATCCTCTGTGGCAGCTTGCTAGCCTAATATACACTGTTTGTTTAAATTTTCAGTATTTGTTCAGTTGAACATCAATCCCCTTTCCAGAGGCATCAATTTATGCTACTAAAAGTTGGCATAAATTTGGAAATAAATTTTAAGAATAAAAATAGTACTTGAGGTTTTTCAGTAAAGACCTGTGGTGGATTTTTATAGTGTAAATAACAAAATATCTCCCTCCGTCTTTTTCCTTCTTTCCCAGAGACAGAGTCTTACTGTGTAGCCCTGGTTGGGCGGGCCTAGAACTTGTTATGTATACCAGGCTGGCCTCACGTTCACAGAGATCTGCCTGCTTCTGCCTCTGGAATTAAAGGAACATACTACCATTCCCTAAAATAAGTAACTTCTAGAAGATGACAGTTATTTAGTATCTTCCAATATAGAGATTGTTTTCTTTTTCTTCATCCAATAAATGGTTAAGCCAAAACAATATATAGCTAATACATAGGTGGGAGCAAGCAACATAGGGAAAACTGGCCAAGAATTTCTTCAGTTCACAGTCTATAAAATCTTATCATCACAAAGGCTGCTGAGATGGCTCAGGGGGTAAAGGTGATTGGGCTGATGACCTAAGTTTGATCCCCGGGGCCCATGTGGTAGATTAAACTGACACCCAAAAATTATCCTGCCTTCTACCCATGTGCCTGTCATGCTACACATGGCACCCCTCCAACACATAAAATAAATTTATTATTCATTTAATTACAAATAGATGAAGCAGCAACGAAAATATTTACTCAGTGTGTATTTATTTATTATTTACATACACATATATGCACCACATACGTGTAAAAGGCCATGGAAGTCACAAGAGGGCATCAGATTGTATGCAGCTGGAGTTGCAGACAGTTGAGAGCTCCTATGTGAGCGAGAGCCCTGGTCCTCTTTCTACAAGAGCTCTTAACTTTGGAGCTATCATCTCTCCAGCCTAAAATAGCTATTTTCCAAGGAATTATGCTTAAAGAAAATCCCATAAAAATTTATTTGTAAAATACAATAAGATGTGACTAAGGAAAAATATGAAGACTGTATAGCATATTTTTCAAACTGAATAAAATAGTCAGTTTCTTAGATGGGTGAAAATAGTTTCATGATCTGTATAAACTCCACTGTGTAAATAATGCTAGGACAACTCACTCGACATTACCACTTTTGACAGCTCATCTGGTACAACACAGCTAATACTGCCATAATGACTACATTCTCTCTCTGCCAATACTGGAGCCTGAACCCTAGATCTCATACTACATTCTCAAACTTAAGTCTGCATCTTTTAAAATGGTATTATGAGTAATTTCAGACATCTATGTATGTGAGATTATATGAGATCAACTTTCTGGTGTCTCATAAAGTATTTACATGCACAAAAGATGTGTACAAAGAGCAGGGTACCACAAAGCCATGAGAATTCATATACAAAGCTGAACTCACCTGAGTATAGAAGCCACTAGCTGCCTCTAGGAACAGAGAAAGGTTTGCCTGGACTTCACTCCTATTTGGGTTTGCTCGGTTCTTTGCTTGGCCTTGTAGTGTTGTGATCTGATTCTTAAAGGCATGATTCCAGCTGAAAACAAAATAATTCAATTTGGTATAGTAGTGACTCACTGGGCAGACACTGGTCCCCCTGAGAACAAGAACTATTTGTTATGTTATACCACACCAAACAGTAAACCAGCATTAAAGTTTGTTTTTTGTTTTTTGTTTTTTTTTTTTAAATAACTTCAGGTTTTTCTTTGAACAAGACTAGACCAAACATGCATTAGAATGTAACTGCCTTTAGTGGACACTTACCAAATGCTCCAGTAAGTAGACTGTAGTTGCAACTATGAACCTTTAGAACTCTTATAGTAAGACCTACTTAAGAATCCCAGTAAGATCAAAGTAAAATAAGATATTAGCGATTTTAACACAGTGGGCCAAAAATAATTACACCCTACTCAAGTGACACACTGCGGGGTGCTTTGAACATACTAAGTAAGGTCTGTCATTTACTTTCCCCAAGCTAATTATCTATAACATTCATTTCCATTCCTATTTAATGATTTTATTTATCTTACAGGTTAAGGCTTAATACTTTAACAACATGAAATAGAAACCACATTTCAATTTTGGTTACTTAAACAACCCAGTGCTAAAATACATTATATGAAAATGACATTAGTCAATATTATTATCAGCTTAAGTTCAATTTTAGTGAAATGTAGTATCAAAAGCCAACATCAAATTTTGAGGCTCTAGGCCTTATGGTTTTAAAAATAGTTTAGGACATCTGTCAATACTCCTTCAATATTAGTGATAGTTTTTTACTGTGGACTCAAATATCACAGACATGATTTCTGATTAGTTAGCTAAACTACTAGATTTTTTACAAACACAGAACATAAAAAGCATAGAAGAAAAAAAAAAGGGAAAAACTAACTTCATCACAACTTAGACTAGTGGGCCTTACTAGATAGAATGTTTAAGTTTCTAGCAAGCTAACAGTCCCTGTTTCACTTTATAGGTAAGATCTTCCACAAAAAGCCATTATTTACTCACTGGGTAATCTGGTTATCTGCCATTTCATCCTTCATTAGAAAGAACAAATGGAATATTCTAAACAAAAAATCTTTCTTTAGTTTTCTGGGGAGTAGGAAGGAAAATATAACCATGTATTTGATTAAAGGAACTTTTCTTACAATGCAAATACACTTTTCTGATGAAGAAACAAGATGACTCTGTTTATCTTTTTCTTAGTCATTGGGCTAAGTCCAAATGCAAAATCCTACTGATCAAAGAAAAGTTTAACTATAAGACTTAACACAGATAAACTCTTAGAATTTGAGATACCATGCATATGTTTAGCTTTATTTATTCCAGTATGCTCTAAAAGCTGCCTTTGGTAAAATTCAGATCTAAACATTATTCCTCTTACCTTCAAAGATTATACCTGAAAAAACACTAATGGTTAAATGTTTTGTTTTTAAAAAGTCACAAGTATTAGAATTTCTGGGAAAAGCTTACACTAGGGTAGACTGAAAAAACAACCAACTAATCAACCCTGTTTCAAAATCTTGATGAAATTCCTGAGCACAGGAGCGCCCCAAGTGCTAATACTTACAGATCCTGTTCCACTTTCTTGTCTAAAGCGTATTCCAGATCAGTAACTAGCATTTTCTGGTACAAGTCCTGCAGAGCTTGTCTGGATGTCCAGACCTCAGCTGGACCCAGCTTAGAATCTGTAAAACGAAACAAACAAAAAGCCACCATATAGTTAAGTAATTTAATCCACATCAACGATTCCTTCTCTCTCCATCCACCAACGCAAATCTGCTCTCAGCATCTTCTGTCCACTGCTGCAGAAGTTTTATGTTACTGTGTCTCAAATGACTTTCACCTACTGCCTTTCTGCTAATGACTAAATTTGATTTAAAATGTTTTTGTCTTTTAGCTAGTCTTTAAAACCTTTGTGCATGTGTATGGAGCCTATATGTGAGCATATGTGGGGTACAGACTGGATGAATAAGGGAGGGCAACAGCTATCCTCTTCTATCACTCTCCACCTGTTCCTTTGGGGCCGTCTTTCACTGAGCCTGCAGCTTCAGGTTTTTCAGTGAGGCTGTCAATTATAAAGTTCCAGTGATTCTCCTGTCTCTACCTTCCCCACCTTTTGGGGTTACAGCTATGCCCAGAATGATTTTCTGTAGTTGCTGGCCAGGCCCCATGCTCACTCATGAAGCAAAAAATCCTGTGTGCTGACCATTTTCTCCAACCTGTCTTTCAACTTTAAAATAACACTGTGAAATTAAAATGGTCATTAAAAGAAAATTCACCCTTTGTTTCTGGTTTAGATTTCTGCCTATTTATGTCACAGCAGGTCATATATCTCATAGTAAGTTACTATATTTAAAATAATTTATTTATATCAAATTGTTTACCGCCTTAATCTCTACCCAAATCATGTTTATTTTGAATCACTCCTACAAGGATCCTCACAAAACTTTTATCAGCTTACCATCCAGCAGATGCCTGGATTATTCCTACTCTATTATGCCACCCTAATGAAATAGTAAGAATTGCTTTCATAAATGGAACATGGCCATCCAAGGTCCTTATAAAATCAGTCCATACTATAACCATTTTATATGAAGAAAGGGCAGAAGCCTGAAATTAAACTGCTCAAATAGCCAAAAGAGTAACTGTATATAGGATAGAATTAGAAAGTCAGTCTCTGACTGTGTGTTTATGAACTAGAGCCACATTTTTGGCCAAAGTCCTGTAGGGTGAACAGTTCAAATGCTGACAGTATACTGCCTCAGTAGAGCTACTTAATGAACTTTTCAATCATAAATTTCCAAAATCCAGTTAAACAATTTAATTCAATCTAGAAGTTTGCTGCTGTACAATGTCACAATTTCCACTCTATTTAGGATGGTTATAAGTACCTATAAGCCATCATAATCCTATTCAGCAAAGAGAACATCTTGAATATTTGAGCTAATACAGAGGTTTGCTGGCTAGTAAGATTTGGATCTTATACACTGGGCTTTAGGGGACTGTAGATGTCATTCAAATAAGTAAATGTAAACACATGTTCAATACTTCGAAAAAAATATATGGTATACGCAGATTGTTGCACAGATAGTACTTCTGACACTGGTATCATGTAATATGGATGATGGCCAGAAATGTGTTACCAGGAAGAGTAGCAGCGAATACACTGTAAGCCTTCTTCTTTTGCCTTGTTCCTTATGATACAGTAGTGAGGTTCTTAATAAACACTAGCCTGTAACTGTCAAAGCTAAAAAAACACTATCTCCCTAGTAGTTAGCATATGCCCTCTTGAACTGTAAATCTTGGCCAGAATGCTGGCTACCAATCAACAGTAGATGAAGTCTTCGTGGGTCAACCATACAACTAAATTCCCCCAACTTAGAACATTATCTACCTAGTATCACACATCTGACAGGTTAGGCTAACACATGCTATTCTGAAGGATATGCTGATCACTAGCTTTTAATTATCTGTTCACTTTAGCAGCTAAGTCCAAAATTTCTTCCCAAAAAGAAGCTATTACTCAGAGCAGAAAAAATGTGTGAGAAAAGGTAGCTCACTGCATTTCATCCTTTCGGTGCAGTTTTTCTATAAACATTTTTCTTGAAGGTTTACTTACACTTAGGTTTGAGTCATTACAAATTGAAAAGAACATTTGCCTACAAAAATATTAATCAAACGCCACACCTTTATATAGTTACATGGAATGTGAATTATTTCATATCTTAAATTATTAATAAAAGGTTCATAAATATTAAATGATTGTACACATTAATAACAATTCAAATGTGGCATATACTACATTAAGCTCCTGAGAAATATTTAAGGAAAAATCCAAAGAATAAGACCAATAAACATTTAAAGCAAAATTAGTATTTCTCTTGGCAACCAGTACAGGGTTTGGTACTATACCTTAAGTGAGAAAAGAAATTTTCTTCAACTTAATAGAATAAAAAAAGTTGTAAAAAAGAAGACAGCTAATACCTGTCATTTCAGCCTTCAGGACTTCTGCCTGCCTAGATGAGAAAACAGAACAATAGTTAAAAAACAACAAATTAGCATAAACACAATAAACACTAAGTTTAAAATGCATTACAATGAGGCTGTATATATGGAGAGAAATTTATGCCCTCCTTTAACATCTAGTGTAGCATAGGTTTTAAGAAACTGATGTCATAACTTAAAAATTACTTCACAGATTAAACTGGTGACTTCTCTAAAAGAGTCATTTCTTGTTCTCCAAATCTGAATGTAAAGATAAAAAAGCCCCTCCCCTCCCACCCTGAACGCCCTGACGACCAGTTTGCTTTCAATTTACTGGTTATCATAAACATTTCAAATTTCTTCCCTTCTCAAACTGCTCTTTCCTATCCCTTTTCCCACTGGCAAATGACTGCCACATAGCCCTGCTCTGGGAAAAAATTCCCACAACTGGGTATTTACTGCACTTACACAGCCCTATGAAATCAAAGTTCATCTTAAAGGACCGTTCTTTTAGCATTTCATCAGGACATGATTACTCTTTCCTCTTTTAGGCAATCGTGACATTCCCTTGCTATTGTACCTTTATCTCTTTGGCATTCAAATATACAAGTTTTTCACACATTAAAAAAATAAAAAGCTAACTTTTCCCTCTGTGAAATTCAAGAATTGTCTGCTATTGGAGAGGTCCTAAATTGACTTCATGGTCCACACATAACCTTAACTCCACATTTCATTCTCTTAGGAATTATTTTTTCATCTTGGCAAGTTTTATTGGCTTTCCAGCTGTGGAAGGCAAAACCCCCAGAAGTCCTTCATGACAACCTTCTTCCAAAGCCTTAATATTTACCAATTCCCGAGAAGTGATGTCCTCTAAATACTTATTGGACTTTCACTGCATTACTTCTTTAGCCGCCTCCCCATGTTATCTATCACACCACCCATCCCTCATTTGAAATACTGAAAAATATATTTTTGAATTCATGCTTGATCTTACAAACTACCCACCTGAACGTAAAACGTTTAGTATTTTCCACTATAAAATCTTTAGTGACAAATTCTTTAGTCTCTGAACTTTCACCACTCTTCTCTCCTTAATCTAGTGGTCTGCCACTGGACTCTTGAAAAGGAGAGTCCCTGGGCTAAGCACACCACCCCCCCTTTACTGGCCAATAAACTACTTATACTTTCTGTCTGAGTTAGAGCACTAGAACTTCCTTGAGAAACCCATGAGGTAAGGAAACCCTGAGGCTGCCAAAGTCACTTTATAATAAGTAGGTATCACAGCGTTTAAAAATACATACCATGAGAATCCCTTTTCAACTAGCATAAAGCCTAGTAGAAACTCTAAAATACGCTTTCCCACAAGGTTCTGGTATATTCTTGCATAGGAGAACGAGGGCCCAGTTTAATAGGGGAGGTGCTGCTTCCGGGAGAGCGGTCCAGAGTTGTGTAAGAAATTGAGAGAATAAGCAGTTCCTGCCCTGGTTTCCCTTTATGATGGACTATTACTGCAAGTATAAGTAAAATAAAGCCTTTCCTCCCTAAGTTGCTTTTGATCGTACACCTCTTTTGTGCCTGGAACCAGCATAGAGCAGAAGAAAGTGTTAAAAGTTGTCATGTGGGTGGGAATGGAACCAATATCCTCTGAAGAAAAGCCAGTGTTTTTACCACTCCAGCCCCCAATGACTATAAATTTTATTCTTGTAGTCTTTCTTTATAAAAAATAGCCACTTTTTTGTTTGATTTTTTTTCAAGAGAGAGTTTCCCTGTGTAGTCTTGGCTGTCCTGGACTTGATTTGTAGACCAGGCTGGCCTCAGACTCAGAGAGAGCCAGCCACCTGCCTCTGCCTCTCAAAGTGCTGGGATTACAGGTGTATGCCATTGGGCCCGGCCCAAGACTAGTCTTAATGTCCTCTCTCAGCAGAAAATGTGACCAAAAAAGGTAAGGGTTTTTTGTTTGTTTGTTCTTACTTTACGCTGAAGGAATCAGTGAAAGGAATGAATATACCAAGGATCCAAAAGTTAAATCTCTATACTCTTAATAATAAAAACACAATTAAATATAGCTATGAAATTTTAAAAAATCAAAATATTATATACATTGTCTTTGGACTTTTTTATTTTGCTATGTATTACAAGCTAGCCTTGAACTTCCATAACCATCCTGCCTTACTCTCCCAAGTGCTGGGACTACAGGTATGCCACCACACCTAGCAGCTTTTAGTTATTCATTAAAAGAAATACAGTATGTCTGCTAAACAATAAAGAAAAGTGAAATTAAAGGGCATGGATCAATAATAATAAATACACTGAAAGCTACAATCAAACAATTCACATGGAGAAAGCAGAATCAAGATCTATAAATATATTTAATGCATTCTAAGCACTAGCATCTTTAAGAGCTAGCACTCTAACACCATTGCCAGACATTGTTCTAAGGGCCTAGTATAAGTAATAATTTAATATTTACTATGTGCTATTACTGTCTCCATTTCACACTTGTAGAAAACATAAGCATGTAGAGATTAAGTAGCAAGTCATGGTCACAGAGTTGGAAGTAGTAAGACTGTAAGAAAAAAAAATTCAAACGTATGATAGTAACAGCCCATAGAACTGGATGGAACACTACAAGATTTTTTTCAACCTGAACTTCTGACCAACTTTCCCTGTTAAAAACAAACAAACAAAAAACTAAATTAAAAAAAAATCAGTTTAAACTCACAGCTATCAAAACAAAACACACAAATGCTAAGCCACTCTCCTTTCTTTTAGAAGTGCCTAGAGTAGTTGGGACATTTTTTTCCTCCCATACCAAGAGTCAAGGTGTTTTTGGTTTTTTTTTTTTTTTTTTAATTTATTTAATTTTATTCTTTGTGCATTGGTGTGAAGGTGTCAGAACTGTAGTTACAGACAGTTGTGAACTGCCATGTGGGTGCTAAGAATTGAACCCGGGTTCTTTGGAAGAGCAGGCAGTGCTCTTAACCACTGAGCCATCTCTCCAGCCCCTCAAGGTTGGTTTTTAATTTGCTACTTTGTTCACTTGTTCAACATACACATTCTAAGGAACAATTTGGGATTATTACAATATTCATCTATTATAATCATAAACATAAGAACCAAATCGTAATTAATTATGCAAAATAGGCCAAACACTGTAAAGTGAGTATGTACTTATGAACACACATAAATGTATATATAGCTCTCTAGACAGTGGCAAGTTGTCTAATAATAAATTAGCTGGAGAAGAATAAATGCTATTGTTGTCCTGTTGAATATCGTTTTGAAGATACTCTAGGGAAGATGTTGATACTAAGGGTTTTTCTCAGTTCAGGTCAACAAGCATATGAACTTGCTCTTTCTCTTATTTCTCTTATAATCTTTGCACACTACAATGCTCTAACATGCAAGTTGTGACCCTTTTGGGGGTCAAACAACACTTTTACAGGGGTCACATATCAGACATTTTGCATATCATATTTATATTACAATTCATAACAGTAGCAAAATCACAGTTAAAAAGTAGCGACAGAATAATTTTACGGTTGGAGGTCACCACAACGTGAGAACTGTATTAAAGGGTCACAGCATTAGGAAGGTTGAAAACCCACTGCTCTATACCAGACATACATTTAGTCCATGGTCTATATTCTTTGAGTATGTGTATATCGTTTGCTAAGGGGCATTCTAATCTGGGAATTTCAAGGATGAGAGCAAAAGACAAAACTAAGTAAAACAAAGATAAAATGCAAAGTCAAAAGCAATAGATGAAGTTGGGAGAATCAAGAAAGGTAGCAGATTGTGAGAAGACCTGCATGATGTTTTCAAGAGTTCAAATTCAGTCCTCTAAGAAATCAATGCTGACAGCACTGTTACAAGACCCTGCATCTGTAGGCACTGTACGCATACAGGGCACATACATACATGGCACAATGATATCAGATGCATGAAGCATGGATTACAGGTCAAGACTGGAAATGAGATAATGATTAATACTGCTAAGTAGAAAACTCCTTTCCAAAATATCTCCAAAGCTAAACTAGGAAGGGAGAGGGAGGAAGCAAAGAGACAGAATCAAAGCAAAGAGTCTAAAACCATTTCAGGTAGCTAGCTTGGACAGTAGGTAGTATAGGCAGGCGTTTAGAGGTGACAGATGTTATGAGGAATAAATAAGACAAAGTATGTAAATGACCTCTCAAAGAAGGACAACCTGTGACCACCAAACTACTTGCTGATCTGTATAACTGTAATCAGGTGTCCCTTCCCTTACTACTTCACAAGATCTCTTCTTAAAAAAAAAGCACAATGTATTAAATGCAAGTTTAAAATGGCAAAAACCCTAGTTCTTTATCTCCACATAATGCTAAAGGACAGAGAGACAAGCTATTTAAATACCATATAACTATGCTCTCATATGAGCAAAAAATAAAACCAGTGTATTTTTAGTATGAATAAAAAATAACATCAGTGACAGACAAATTACAAAAGAACTGGGTCAAGATGTTACATTTCTGTTATCTCTCTAGACCTGTTGTAATTCTAACTGATTATTTCAGAATAACATTTAAAAACTTAAGACCCGATAACATGTGAGGCAAATGATAAATGACTAAAATGCCATGCTGAAAATAGAGCCCAAATCCATCAGATAAAAACTGATAGCCTCAGGGGCTGGAGAGATAGCTCAGAGGTTAAGAGCACTGGCTATTCTTCCAAAGGTCCTGAGTTCAATTCCCAGCAACCACATAGTAGTTCATAACCATCTATGATGAGATCTGGTGCCCTGTTCTGGTGTGTAGGCACATGTGTCAGCAGAATATTATATAAATAACAAATATTTTTTAAAATTGATAGCCTAATATCATTTGATAATGTATTACTTGCTAAGTTTTCTTGTCATGCTTTCATCTATTAAAGTCTTTACATTTCAGCTGGAACCACAGGCCTATAACAACACATGGTGGTCCCGTGAAAGAAGAAGTAGGATTCAAAGTATGGGGTCATCCCTGGGTGACATAGAAGTTCAAGGCTATAACAATACTATATAACAAGACTATCTAAAAACAAAAAACAACGGCTAGGTGTAGCTCAATAGCAGAATGCTTGCTGAGCCATGCCCAATACTCCATGTTTGATCCCCAATACTGAAAACAAGCAAACAACTTTAAATTTCAGCTACTCTATCAGGTAAGTAGTAGTGTGTACTTTTTTTTTGGATGAGAAAACAGGAAAAGAGTGATGAAATAGCCTACTATCACAGGATTAGAAAGTAGCAGCTTGGATTCTACCTTGCAATGTAATTCCAGAACTAGAGCTTAGACACATTATTTATTAAAAAAAAAAAAAAAAAAAAAAAAAAAAAGATTTTATAAAAAAAAAAAAAAAAAAAAAAAAAGCAGGATTTCTGAAATGAAGTAGCTACAAGTGTCACCATCAATCATAATAGCAACTTACAGGGATAACCATCAGTTGTAAAACCACATTTCTGATATTAATCACATGCTATGTCAGTATTAATATGCTAGAGTAACAGTTACCAGAACATCACATTATAATATGTATTGTAATATATTATCACAAAATGTATTCTGTGATACATTATCACAAAACTCTAGGAGTTTAATACCATCCACACTGACATACCGAACCCAGAATTGATGTTTCCTGCACTAAAATAAATCACTAAACATGTAACAGAAATTTTCTTTAACAGATAATTTGAAGATGAACTCAGGAAGCTGGAGAGATGGCTCAGCAGTTAAGAGCATGGGCTACTCTTCCAGCAGACCCAGGTTCCTTTCCTGGCACTGGTATGCTCACTCACAACCATTTCTAACTTCAGCCCCAGGGTATCCAGCACCCTGTTCTAGACTGTGCATACTGCAGACTTGGGGTATACACATATATATGCAGCAAAACACCCATATACATAAAATGCAAATAAAGGAAATAATTTTCTATGAAAATGATTAATCCTATATCCCCAGTCTTACAAAAACTCAGAAACTTTATATCTAAACATATAAATTCCTGAAATGTATTTCAGTACATTTTTTAAGGTTTCTTTGGACCATATCAATGTAATGATGCCAAAGTAAACCTAGCTTAATTTCTCATAAAGCCACATAAGTAAAAATAGAATCTTTAGCACATCCCTCCTCCATCCTTCAGGAAGTCTCAAATTCTTTTCTCAATGTCCACAGAATATGAAAATTTTAATATACATACTGGAAATTAGTAACAGTGCAGAAATCCCTTATAATTTTTGTCCTACCTAATATTACTTGATTTCAGATGCTCCTCTGATTTCAAGTTTTCGGTCCTCATCTGGGACTTAAATCAAACGTTTTCTCCCACAATGACTATCTGCAAGAACATCCAATTTTTCACAAGGTAGAATGGTTTAAGACACTCTAGATAGAGGAGAGGAGGAAAATATGAGTTAACACAAAAAATAGAGAATGGCCCTGGGGAAAAAAATTTAATTTATTTGAAATGACTTAATGCAAAAAGCAAAGAAAAATAGCAAAGTTTGTTTTCTTTTTATATTTCTTAAAACACCTTTAAATGTTATTTTGTTTGTTTTTCTAAAATATTTTGGTTTTAGACCTTATATGTTGCCCTCATGAGCTTCACTGTTTACAAACTGATCTTTACAGAATAGACACCAGTTTCCCAGCAGGGAACTACAGAGTGAAACTACCCAGGTATAACATCAAAACAGACGTACTCTTAACCAACAGAAAACCATATAAAAGCAATTAAACCACAGGCACAGGTAGGTAGTATGAATTCTAAGATCAGCAGCGGTTAGGTTTTTAGGTTTTCAGTCATCAAACAGTATTGGGTCATTTTTATGTGAAAGAAAAAACATTTTATGGCGCTTATACCGGTTTAAGAACAGAAAATACAGTGATAAGATAGGTAACAGTCCTTGCTAGAGATTTACTATAGAATGTATAAACAGATCAACAAAGCAGCAGGCAATAGAAGGTAGTGATTGAAGCATGCTTTTAGAATCATGCGCTGTTGTGGTATGACAGAAGGTAAGCCACAGGAAAAAGAACAGTTTACTAAGGTATTAATTCAAATGATTTAGGCAAAGTGAGTTAATTATTGGCCTTTGGTCACTGTTTACATTTATAGTTCTTACTTATGTGCTTAGGCATACTTAAGTGCTTTCTATATGTGACCTCACAGAACGGGAGCAGAAGAGGAACTGCTGGGGGTCTTCAAATTCAGGCTGCTGGGGTTCAACTTAAGCTCTGGTATTTGCTAGCCATGTAACAAGGTGAATCACTGCCCTACACCCCAGCTTAGTTAGAAGATGGACATAATTAAATAAGTCACCTCACCGAGATGATCTGAGGATGAATTAGAGTAACAAAAGTCAAGTTATCAATATTATGAGAATAGAAATAAGTTACCCATTACTGCATTTGTCATTATCATTATGGTTAATTACAACTCTCAACTAGTCAAAAATTACAAACACTATTATCTTCTACAAATTAGGAAAGTGAAACTAGAAACTCATACTAATAAATTTTTGGAATAGAACACATTGATTTTAATAATTTTTAGCACTAAAATGTCTTAACAGAAATGTCAAGCATGCAGTAAAGGGCTTTGTCGCTTTACTTCTAAAGCATGTATTCACAGGAAAGAATGAGAAAACAGCTCCAACTTCCTTGACATAGCAAATCAGTTAGCAAAGCTTTGACTATGATCCAGTGAGCCTCTAGCTATTACTCATAGTTTCTTGCATTCTGCCTCTCAGGATCCATATCTTAATTCATGCTTTTTAATCACTAAACCTAGAATGCACTCCCATTTTCCTCATCTGGCCAACTCATTCTGAGATTTTTAAAAACTGAGTAACCCCTATAAGAAAGATGTGATTTGGCTAATTATTCCAGAATGTGCATACATGTAGTTTCACTGTAGCACCATACAAACGAATTGTTTACATATTTTTTCCATTAAAGAAAGTCGGATCTGAGGCTGGAGAGATGGCTCAGTGGTTAAGAGCACCCACCGGCAGCTCTTCCAGAGGACCTGGATTCAATTCCTAGCACCCACATGGCAGCTCACAACTGTGTGTAACAGTTCCAGGGGATCCCTTCCACAGACACAAGATAGCAAATCACCAATACACATAAAACAAACAAACAAACAAACAAACAAACAAAGAAGTTGTCTCTATTCAATCTTGTATATATAACTAGCACCCAGCATGGTGATTACTAGACATTTATATAAATAAATTTAAATCAATATGGATGGTGTCTCTATTTAAAGTTATATCAAATATCATTGAAACCCAGATTTTCTTTTCTATTTTGCCTGAAAAAAAAAATCAAGTATTTCCCCAAACTGATAAAATCATAACCCACAGATTAAGATACTCAATAAACCATAAAAGAAAACCTATGGAGTCATTTTAATAGAAGAAAACCTTAAAAAGCAAACAGGGGGAGGGGAGAGAAACATTTTATAACGAATAATAAAGGTAAAAATCATGGCTAAATTCCTATCAGAAAAAAAAAGACAAGACAAAAGCAACATTTTCAAAGTATAAGAAAAAAAAGAAAACCTCAACCTATATAAGTTTATATCCAGCAAAAATATCTTTCAAAAATCGAAGGGAAAACAAGTAACATTTTCAGAAATACAAGAACAAAGGAACCTTCAGACCGACAGATCAATACTCACAAAGAATATTTAAAAAGCTTCTCAAGATGAAAGAATATACCAAATGGAAACTTGAAACTAAGCAAAGAGGTGAAGATTTCCACAAATAGACCTGTGAGTAAACATAAATACTTTCATTTCTTGTTTTAATTTCATTTTAAAATTACTGTCAGGCTGGACAGATAGCTCAGAGGTTAAGAGCACTGGCTGTTCTTCCAAAGGTCTGGAGTTCAATTCCCAGCAACCACATGGTTGGCTGATAACCATCATATGACGACATTGGGTGTCCTCTTCTGGCATGTAGGCATACATGCAGGCAGAATACTATAAATAATAAATAAATCTTAAAAAATTACTTTATACTTTAAGCAAAAAATAATACTAGATCATAGAGATTTAAAAAATGTATACATTTGACAGTAGTACAAATGGGATGGGCGGGTAATAACTGCCAGGTACAGGCAATGTGCATCATTAATCCTGAGACATTGGAGGCTGAGGCAGGTGAAGACCAGCATGAACTACACACGAGAGCCGTTCTCCAAACACACACACACACACACACACACACACACACACACACACACACACAGAAAATAAAAAAAGAAAAAGTGTAAAGAGACATGAATGGAATGAAAGTATACTGTTTATATTAACACACAAGTAGAAATAAAACAAAAAAGGAAAAACAGAAAAATCTACAATTACTTAGAAATTTCAAAATTCATCTTTCAGTAACAATAGAATAAGCAAGGCAGAAAGCCGGTAAGGTTAGGCCAATATGATAGAATTAAAACCTATAAGCTGGGCACAGTGGTGTACTCCTATAATCCCAGACTCCAGGAAGCAGAGGCAGGCAGATCTCTGTAAGGTCAAGGCCAGCCTGGTCTACAGAGTGAGTCCAGGACAGCCAAAGCTACACAGAGAAATCCTGTCTCAGGGGCAAAAAAAAAAATGTTTCTGCCAAACAAAACACACTTTTCCCCCAAATATACACCAAGATAGAAAATATGTTACAGCATAAAACAAGTTTTTATAAATTTAAGACAAAATCACAAAAATTCAACTCAATACAGAAAGTCAGCTTCAGTTAGTTGTTCACATTCAGTAATGTTTCACAAAGCTTCAATATTTAAAAAATGTACTTCTAAAAAACTATAAATCAAAGGAACAACCCCAAGAGCAATTTGAAAATGTTTAAAACCAAATGAAAATGTAAATATGCATAATTTATCTGTATGCAGCAAAGGCAGCATGGAGGCCTTCAGAGCTCTGAATGTTTATATAGAGGAGAAAGGGCTAAAAGCACTGATCCAAGGAAGCATCCACTTTCAAAAGCTGTACAAAAAAGGAAAAAAAAAAGGGGGGGGGGGGAGGTTTCCACTAACTCAAATCAAATGAAATGAAGAAACAATGCAAAGAAAATAAACAAAGTGAGAACCAAAAGTTACTTCTTTGGAAATAACCTGTAATTTACCCCTAAATGATCTATAGTTATAATGCAATTTCAATAAAAAACCCCAGCATGTGTTTTTTGATAGAAATTGGCAGGTGATTTTCATGTTTATCTAGAGACACAAGCATTTATAACTGTAACGATTTTCCAAATAAATAAAGTCTGGAATATGTATGTTACCTGATTTCAAAACCCACTAAAGAGCTGTGTAAAGCAAAGGACTCTAAGCAGAGAGACATAGGTACATTGTTGATTTCAAGAGTCAGAGACCAACATCTACTGATGTAATTACTGTGGTGGTTTAACTAGGAATAAGAGCCCCCATGGGCCCATGTATTTGAATACTAAGTCATCAGGGAATGACTTAGAAGGATTAGAAGGTGTGACTTTGTTGGGGTAGGTGTGGCCTTGTTGAAGGAAGTGTCACTGGGGGTGGGGTGTCAAGGTTTCAGAAGCCCAGCTCAGGCCCAGTGGCTCTCTTCTTGCTGCCTATGGATCTGGATGTAGAGCTATTGCTCAATTCTCCAGCACTATTTCTGTGTGCTTCCATGTTTCTCATCTTAATGAAATTGGACCAAACCTCCGAAACTCTAAGTCCAAATTAAATGCTTTCTTTTTATAAGAGTTGCTATGATAATATATCTCTTCACAGTAGTACAGCTCTGACTGAAACACTTATGTATATGTGTATGTAAATATGTTTTGTGTATAGTCATATTTTAATAAAAGTACTAAGGAATTTAAAGAAAAAGTACTTTCTCAACAACTAGATAAAAAATGTAACTAGTCAAAAACCTCAAGGAATTCATCACAACGCATACAAAATTTTCTCAAAATAGATTGTAGACTTAGTCTATAAAATTTCTAGAAGAAAATTTAGAAGTAAATGGGATAACTTTTAACTAACTTTTAGCCCTGGTTTGAATGTTGTATGACTTCTCCCAAATGCATGCTGAAAATTAATGCCCAATCCAACAACATTACGAGGTGCTGACTCTTGGAAATGAATACCATATGAAGGCTACACAAATGGGACCAAGAATGGGACCAGTGCCTTATAAAGGGGCTGAAAGGAATTAGCTAGGGGTCCATGCTCTCAGACCCCATTGTTGGGATAACGTCTTTGTGCAGTTGGGATAACTGTGTAAAGGTTATCCCTGTATATTCAAATGCCGATTTCTGTTCTGCAGAGATCAGATTTGCAGACCAGACCTTAATACTGTTAAGCATCAGCTGTCTCAATGTCTTGTAAACAACCCCCCT